TCAGGCAGGGTCATAAAACAGTCAGTTTAGAACCTAACCACTCAGGCAGAATCATAAAACAGTCAGTTTAGAACCTAACCACTCAGGCAGAAACCTTATCCACTCAGGCAGAGTCATAATACAGTCAGTTTAGAACCTAACCACTCAGGCAGAAACCTTACCCAGTCAGGCAGAGTCATAAAACAGTCAGTTTAGAACCAAACCACTCAGGCAGAAACCTTACCCACTCAGGCAGGGTCATAAAACAGTCAGTTTAGAACCTAACCACTCAGGCAGAATCATAAAACAGTCAGTTTAGAACCTAACCACTCAGGCAGAAACCTTATCCACTCAGGCAGAGTCATAATACAGTCAGTTTAGAACCTAACCACTCAGGCAGAAACCTTACCCAGTCAGGCAGAGTCATAAAACAGTCAGTTTAGAACCTAACCACTCAGGCAGAATCATAAAACAGTCAATTTAGAACCTAACCCAGTCAGGCAGAAACCTAACCCAGTCAGGCAGAATCATAAAACAGTCAGTTTAGAACCTAACCACTCAGGCAGAAACCTTACCCAGTCAGGCAGAGTCATAAAACAGTCAGTTTAGAACCTAACCACTCAGGCAGAATCATAAAACAGTCAATTTAGAACCTAACCCAGTCAGGCAGAATCATAAAACAGTCAGTTAAGAACCTAACCACTCAGGCAGAAACCTTATCCACTCAGGCAGAGTCATAATACAGTCAGTTTAGAACCTAACCACTCAGGCAGAAACCTTACCCACTCAGGCAGAGTCATAAAACAGTCAGTTTAGAACCTAACCACTCAGGCAGAATCATAAAACAGTCAGTTTAGAACCTAACCACTCAGGCAGAAACCAAACCCACTCAGGCAGAGTCATAATACAGTCAGTTTAGAACCTAACCACTCAGGTAGAAACCTTACCCACTCAGGCAGAATCATAAAACAGTCAGTTTAGAACCTAACCACTCAGGCAGAATCATAAAACAGTCAGTTTAGAACCTAACCACTCAGGCAGAAACCTTACCCACTCAGGCAGAGTCATAAAACAGTCATTTTAGAACCTAATCACTCAGGCAGAAACCTTACCCACTCAGGCAGAGTCATAAAACAGTCAGTTTAGAACCTAACCACTCAGGCAGAATCATAAAACAGTCAGTTTAGAACCTAACCACTCAGGCAGAAACCTTATCCACTCAGGCAGAGTCATAATACAGTCAGTTTAGAACCTAACCACTCAGGCAGAAACCTTACCCAGTCAGGCAGAGTCATAAAACAGTCAGTTTAGAACCTAACCACTCAGGCAGAATCATAAAACAGTCAATTTAGAACCTAACCCAGTCAGGCAGAAACCTAACCCAGTCAGGCAGAATCATAAAACAGTCAGTTTAGAACCTAACCACTCAGGCAGAAACCTTACCCAGTCAGGCAGAGTCATAAAACAGTCAGTTTAGAACCTAACCACTCAGGCAGAATCATAAAACAGTCAGTTTAGAACCTAACCACTCAGGCAGAAACCTTACCCACTCAGGCAGAGTCATAAAACAGTCATTTTAGAACCTAATCACTCAGGCAGAAACCTTACCCACTCAGGCAGAGTCATAAAACAGTCAGTTTAGAACCTAACCACTCAGGCAGAATCATAAAACAGTCAGTTTAGAACCTAACCACTCAGGCAGAAACCTTATCCACTCAGGCAGAGTCATAATACAGTCAGTTTAGAACCTAACCACTCAGGCAGAAACCTTACCCAGTCAGGCAGAGTCATAAAACAGTCAGTTTAGAACCTAACCACTCAGGCAGAATCATAAAACAGTCAATTTAGAACCTAACCACTCAGGCAGAAACCTTACCCACTCAGGCAGAGTCATAAAACAGTCAGTTTAGAACCTAACCACTCAGGCAGAATCATAAAACAGTCAGTTTAGAACCTAACCACTCAGGCAGAAACCAAACCCACTCAGGCAGAGTCATAATACAGTCAGTTTAGAACCTAACCACTCAGGTAGAAACCTTACCCACTCAGGCAGAATCATAAAACAGTCAGTTTAGAACCTAACCACTCAGGCAGAATCATAAAACAGTCAGTTTAGAACCTAACCACTCAGGCAGAAACCTTACCCACTCAGGCAGAGTCATAAAACAGTCATTTTAGAACCTAATCACTCAGGCAGAAACCTTACCCACTCAGGCAGAGTCATAAAACAGTCAGTTTAGAACCTAACCACTCAGGCAGAATCATAAAACAGTCAGTTTAGAACCTAACCACTCAGGCAGAAACCTTATCCACTCAGGCAGAGTCATAATACAGTCAGTTTAGAACCTAACCACTCAGGCAGAAACCTTACCCAGTCAGGCAGAGTCATAAAACAGTCAGTTTAGAACCTAACCACTCAGGCAGAATCATAAAACAGTCAATTTAGAACCTAACCCAGTCAGGCAGAAACCTAACCCAGTCAGGCAGAATCATAAAACAGTCAGTTTAGAACCTAACCACTCAGGCAGAAACCTTACCCAGTCAGGCAGAGTCATAAAACAGTCAGTTTAGAACCTAACCACTCAGGCAGAATCATAAAACAGTCAGTTTAGAACCTAACCACTCAGGCAGAAACCTTACCCACTCAGGCAGAGTCATAAAACAGTCATTTTAGAACCTAATCACTCAGGCAGAAACCTTACCCACTCAGGCAGAGTCATAAAACAGTCAGTTTAGAACCTAACCACTCAGGCAGATACCTTACCCACTCAGGCAGGGTCATAAAACAGTCAGTTTAGAACCTAACCACTCAGGCAGAATTAAAACAGTCAATTTAGAACCTAACCCAGTCAGGCGGAAACCTAACCCAATCAGATAAGTAGTGTCTGGAGTATAAATATCAAAATACTAGTATATCATTGAATAAACAACTGGTTCTTTATATGCAACAATTGGTCTTGTTAAAGCTGAACACAACTCTTAAATAGGCTTAATTAAGCCATATTATTTTTCTCGTTTCCTATGTCAGCACTGGAACCCACACCTGACTAATTTAACCTGGTCACTGTTGGGTGTAGTGCATGTATTTTTTGTTTACATTTTGTTTTATTGAGGGTGCATTTATGTTTATTTTACTTTGTAATGCATTGACCAGTGCAACTGACATCGAATATCTTTGGTAATTATTTTTCTTGAAGTGGCAGAGGCACACAGATGTCATTTCTGTTGTGCCCAAGTCCATCATAATGACATGAAAGAGATGTCTGTTCAGGTAAACTCTGTAAAGCTAAATACATTGAACATGTTTTCTGTGCTTTCTACATCTTTATTCTTAAATTCTCCCATATCATTCTTGAGGTGTTGATTTCTCAAAGTTCAATTTTCACCATTTAAGGACAGTGCAATTATAGACTTACTCTGTTGTCCAATGCACTCGGTATATTTGTATTTTATATTTCACTTTATAATCACAATTCGTGTGTATAAAAAGGAAGTTTTTTTTTTAAATCACCACCTTTTTCTCTAATTTGAACTGAAAATGAACACAAGAAAATCTACACAAGTTCATAACTTTATTGCTTTCAATCCGTTTTGTATTCTCTGTGTACATTACTACATCATTCATCAAGTGAATTATAAAGGCCTAAAACAATGAAATTACAGTCAAACTTTGATACCTCGGACTCAACGGAACTGAGAAGAAACTTGGAGGAATTGAGAGACCAATGATGAAATATAAATACAAAAAAGTGACTGAAACTTCCAAATCACTTTGAATTATCCATGGTATTTGAGATATCAGTGTTCAAAATACTGAAGTTCAACTGTACTTAGAGTTCCCTTAATCCCCCAGTCTAGGTTCTTTATGAAGCAAAATATAATCTAACAAACATGTAGTAATGTGACTGAGGTTACATCAAATTCTTCAAATAATAAACAACATAATATTATACAGTTATGGAATGGGTATGAGGGAAATAGCAAATTTATGGTTCCCCAAGGGAGGAAACTATTTCCCGAGGCAGCGAAGCCGCCGAGGGAAACAGTTTCCTACCGAGGGGAACCATAAATTTGATATTTCCCAAGTACCCATTCCATAACTGTTTTATTATACCGAAACAATCACGGGAGATTTATTAAACTAGAGACTCAGACATTTTTAAAAACAATACAGAGGTATTTAAATAATCACAATTGCATATGATCAAAAATATTGTAAGATAACTAATGCATCAATACCGAGGAAAATAGAATTATTAAAAAAAATATATAATAATTTCACTGACACTTCGAAGGATTATTGTTGCCTTCATTTTGCTAGAATATTTCAGTATGATTTTGACATCGCATGTCGAAATGTTTTGACGTCATACTTACATTGCTAATAACATTACGTCACAGACTCTAGATTCCTTGAATGCTCCGCCCACTGTTCATTTTAATTGGTTAAAATTATTAATATTCATGAGGGAGTAGTCCCAGGGAGTAGCTCCGATTTTTCAGGGAGTAGTCCTCAGATGAGGGAAATAGTATCTTCTCAGGGAAATAGACAGTTTTATGGTATTAATTTTATATAGAGTAATAACAGTAGAGGTATAATAATAAAATCTACAGTACAATGTTCTCTGTGTACACTTCTAGATCTTTCATTAGAATGGATTATATAGGCCTAAAATCAGTAGAATTTCGTGTTAAATGCTTCAGCCAATTTCCTTGAACAAAGTTGCCCATGTGGCACAGTAGTAAGAGCGTCCGCTCTAGAGTCACAAAGTAAGGAGTTGATCCTTACGTCATGGGTTCGAATCCCACTGTGGGACGTGGATACCAGTCCTTCGGATGAGACTGTATAAACCAAGGTCCTGTGATACAGTAGGTGCTGACACAAAAAAGATCCCTCACTGCTCAATGGCCCCGAGTGCCGAGTATAGGTCAAAATTTGCAGCTCTCCACCAGCAAGTGGTGGCGTCTCCATATCAGTGAAAAATTCTCAAGAGGGACGTTAAACAACAAACAAACAAACAAACGATCAAAGTCTTTATGTACATGAAAATAATTAAATTATGAAAACAGAGCTTCTAACAAAATCTTCTATGAAATATACATGATGTAATACAAGAATTATATCTACAATACAACACACATGCACACATACATCTTTAACAATGATATGCTATACTATATACAGTGTTCAGTTTGTTTTACGATGTAAAGCTAATCTCAGCATCTTCTTAAAAATTATTGACAGGCTGGTTTCTTTCAAGCACTGGCACCAAGTGAAAAGAAGACGTTCACAGTAGGATTTAAACATTAATTAGCCACAAAAAATGCAGATCAATAAGAGACAAGTATAAATCTAGTACAATAATACTGATTGTGCATCATAAAATGATATACATGTCACTGACATTGAAGAACAATAAATTGCATAAACACAATGAAAGTGCTGAAATTTTTAACTACATTTGATTTACAGCGAGTTGGCAATAAATAAACAAAACATTTCACTAAAACATAAACTCTCAATCGACTTATGGACCAGAATTTTTTTTTCACTACAATGATTATAAATATAGACTGGTGACTAGAAACCAAAATATCTTAGATTTATACATAAGACTTATACATAGAATAGTGTAGCTAATCTTTCTGATCAAATTCTACAGCTGCATGCAGAGAATATGACAGATGATTTGGTGACAATAATTGACCTGCATGCCAACACTTTCACTGAAAGGGAGTGAATATTCCCTCGTAAGTGCAAACATGCTATATGTACATTTGCAATGCAACTGATTTGTTGTTTGTGATCTTAGTTAATCATACTTATAAGTTAAATTATAGACATTTCTATTTTAAAACATCTTTTATTCCTGTCCTCATATGTCAGGCCAGTACTGTGGCAAACTAAATTTGTAACAGCTTCCTTTAGTATCACAAATGGAAGGCACTTGTGTCTCATTCTGAAAAAAAGGAAAAATTTCAATATAATAATATTCTATATATATATATATATATATATATATATATATATATATATATATATATATATATATATATATTTATATTTATTAGGGATGTCAACGAGTACCCCGTTAACTGGGTACTCGATTGAACGTCCGAATATCGAATACTAAAAATGGTACTCGGTTACTCGGATATGTATTTTTTCTTATTTCAATGTACATATTTTTTCAAAAACTTATCAAAAAATAACTTAAATATGCATATGGGTAATTAGCGTGTCATCATCTACACATGTAAACACCCAATATAGCCTATGGCTGTGTATATACAGTAATTAGTGACCAATCACCTGGTACACAGCTGTTCTCACCTATTGTGGTCCTTAATTTTTTTATGGCTTCCATGATTGTTTTTCAGTGAACATTGTTTAATATGGTCTATTATCTTCAAATCATTTTTACATAATTTAGTTAATAAACGGCAGCGAAATCGGACATGCATAGAAATGCCCCTACCCACTTCAAAATAAGTAAAGATTTAAAAAAATGTTTAAAGTCAGTTTCCATAGTAAGTTTAGTGTATACGGGGGAAACAACCAACATATGAAAAAATATTAGACTAGCGATCCAAACAACATCCGTTCCTTCTCTTTCGCTAGTCTAATCATCACAAATCTGCATAACAGATTGTCCTCCTTTTGCATTGATGAAATAGATCCTAAACAAGAACTGTAAACTATCTGTAATTTTGATGTATTAATTGCGTCATTTGTGTTAATTTAATAAATAAATTTAGTACCAAAAATCATTTCTGTTGGACTCCATGTCTCCATGTTTACATACATTCATAAAAAGCGATAAAAACAGCTTTGGGGTTTAACAAATTAACAATTAAAAATTAACAAACTTGTATTTACACTTATATATATATATATATATATATATATATATATATATATATATATATATATATATATATATATATATATATATATATATATATATATATATATATATTTGTGTCTGCTTTCCTTTGATACCAAATACAAGAGACCCATGGGCCACATTCCTCATCTGAGCACATTGGCTAAGAAAAAGCACAAATCAGTTCAGTATTGAATAGTATTTGATTCCCCATTGTGGCCCAACCCTGGCCTAACCCCAGGGGTTATCATTTGAACAAACTTGAATCTACACTACCTGAGGATGCTTCCAAATCAATATGACTGATAATGGCTTTAATGTACTTGAAAAGAATACCGGTTATTTTTAAAGATTCATTCTACCCCCGGGGATTATCATTTGAACAAACTTGAATATAAACTATGTAAAGAAAGTTTTCTATAAGTTTGAACTTTTTTGGTCAAGTGGTTCTTGAGAAGAAGAATTTTAAAGATGCCACCACATTTTCACTTTTTCTGAAATATCTTCCCTTGAAAGAGGACATGGCCCTTCATTTGATCAAACTTGAATCCCCTTTACCCTAGGATGCTTAGTGGCAAGTTTGGTTGAAATTGGCCCAATGGTTCTGGAAGAGAAGTCGAAAACGTGAAAAGTTTACGGACAGAAGACAGACAGACTACAGATAAAATGTGATCGGAAAAGCTCACTTGAGCTTTCAGGTCAGGTGAGCTAAGAAGTACAGCTAAACTTCGAAATCTCGAACATGGATATCTCGAATACCCCGGATATGTCGAAGTAAGACCGCGGTCCCGACAAAATTTGCTTTATAAATGATTAGAATAAACCCCTCTATGTCGAACGCGGTAATGTCGAATACCCCGGTTATCTCGAAGTAAAACTGTGTACCCATTTATTAAAATCACATGCGTTATCTCGAAGTCAGGATAATTTTCCGCTCTGATGATCAAGTCCATTAGGTAAACTGACCGCTCTATTGATAACACCCACCTGTCTGTCACGCACGGGTTTCTCGTGTTCCTCTGATCAACAAATAATAGCGTGATAATTATACGAGGTGTATGTATGGCTTACCTTGATTTTAATTATGCAAGCCAAAGGTTGTGTGTATTAGTCTTATGCATACGCGTGGATGACAAGTTAATTGTTTCATGGCTGGGGTACGTTTATAAATCTTGATAATCGCTATTTAATGCTATGTGTAATATGCGCGCTTGCATAGTTTATGCATATGAAAGCGAAAATTATAAACATCAAAGTGAAACAAAATTCTGTAATTTTATGCAATTAGAATTTATTTTTCCTACATGTGTATATGAGCGCGCAGAAATTACAACCGTCAGTACACACCATCATGTGAGCGTGTGTCGCAGTGAAAACTTTTGCTATAGTGCCCTGTTATTCAGTGTTCTTCTGTAGTTAAACAAAAGTGCGTGTTTCTTCTTTTGCATTTGATTTTATAATGGTAAAATATTTTATTTAAATTATTATACATGTATGAACATGTTTTTCCAATTAAAAAAATGTATATTTCGTTTGCGTTATTCTGACAGCAACCGGTTTTAAATTTACAATGCATAGACGATATCCGGTTATGTATGCATGGGAAACGATGCTAGCGGTTGACTTACCGGGTTGGTAGAAGGATTATACGTCTGTGCATATTATACAAGGTTTTTATTTTGTGAATTATAAAGAGGATGTAAAAATCTTTTTAATGCTAATTACATGTATATTAAAGAAAACGTATACAGAATTTCAAACAAGAAGGAATTTGACGTTTCTACTATTAAGTGCATGTTCACTGCACTAAGTTTATTTGAAGTTCATTAGAATTATAACCCTCGATATGTCGAACCCCCGGATATCTCGAAGTTCATCAACGGTCCCGTCAACTTCGAGATAACGAAGTTTAACTGTATATGTAAGGAAAAGTCCTGAACTTCTATAATTTTCTTGGATGTTCTTAAATAGAACAGGACAGGACGTCTACTGCATAAATGTATCAGAAGGAATAAACTCCCAAACTTACCAAGAAAAATCAATCAAGATCCTCTCCAGGTCTTCATTTTCATAGTTAAAAAGAACTCTGCTCCAAAAACTTTAACCTGGGACACCAACACCAATGCTGAGGGTATCACATAAGGTTCCCCAATTTCGTTGAGTTGAGCTAAAAACTAAGAAATGACTTTTTGTATTATATTCTATGACATTTCTTGTATAAGTATCTCATTCAATTTCAATTACATCATTTACAATGATATATTATCATAGGTGAATAGCAGAGGGGAATAATTTCTCTCAGTAGAATATAAATTAATGAAGCCCAGTTCAAGCCCTGCCCCAAACCCGGACACTTGACCAAGTGTTCCAAAATTTAAAACATTTGTTAAAAATGCCCTTGCTCAACACAACTTTGTACTCTTTTTGTCTCCTAGTTGCCCAGGAGCATAGATGAAGATTTTCAAAGAAATAACAATGTTCAGATTCCACACAGCCCCACATTAACACCAAAAGACCTGACTCAGGGGGCTATTATTTTCATAACTTTAAAAGAGGTATCCTTGCTCATCATAACCGTACCATTCATTTGTCTGCTTAATACCACTAGGTAAAGAAGAAGATATTTAGAAAATTTATGCATTTCACTATCTTATCTAAATAACACCTAAACACTCTGACCTAGATTGGGCCATGAAATTCACCATTTTGAAAGAGGCACCTTTGCTCATCATAACTATGCTTTTATTTTTGGTTAGCTCAATATCCAGGTGCAGAAATGAAAATTTCCAAAGATATATTGCATATATATATACTTTAATAGGCCCCCAAAACACCAGAACCATTGACCTTGGAGCACCACATTTAACAATTTTAAAAGAAGTTTCTTGCTCATCAAACACTAAATTCATGTGCTAAATACCCAGTAAAACCTCACCCTGACACCAGAACCCCTGACTTTGGAGCCACTTATACTTAGATTTCTGCTTAATACCCAAGAGCAAAGAAGATTTTCAAAGAAACACATACCGGCACACAAGCATCAATAAAGCCCCACCCTAACACCAGATCCCCAGGGCCTGGGGCCAAAAATTTTACAATTTAAGTAGAGGTGCCCTTGCTTATTAGAACCATGCACCTAGTTTACCTGATAAGTTATACAGAGAGGAGAAGGTTTTTAAAAAGAATTTATCCATTTTCATTATATGATCATTAGAGCTCTGCCCTAACTCCAGAATCCCTAACCCTCCTTCATGAATTTCAAAGTTTTGGTAAGGGCTCAGTGCTTATTACAATCATGCCAACAGTTTGACTGCTAGATGTCCAGGAGTTATGATGAAGATTTTAAAAGATAGCACTAATTTTGATGGTTAAAACTCCACCCCTCAGTCCCCAGGGGGAGGGGGGGAGTGACCATGAAATTCAAAATTTTTGTACCCCTTCACTTATTAATGCTATTCCAAAATTAGTTGAAATTGGTTCAAAGGTTCAAGAGAAAAAGCTTAAAAAAAGACCTATAGTTTATGACCAACAAATGACACACATCCACAGAAAAGTGACTCAGGTGACCTAAAAATATATTTCTTTGTACATAACTTGTCTCCTAATGCGGTCTTATCCTATATGGGGGTCATGATTTGCATAAATTTGAAACTGCACTACTTGAGGATCCTTGTTTATTAGACTTCCTTAACAAAGCCAAGCTGCTCTTTAGAAAAAAAAAGATTTATAAGTATTTTTCCTATATATATGTATTCCTGTGTCAAATCTTTCCTGATCCTAAATTCTGGGACCACAGTTTGAACAAATTTGAATAGATCTACTCGTTTGTCTAATCCTAATATAAACTCCTTTAGTTGCATGATAGGCTTCTTGATTGTAAACATGACCTTTTATGCACTATAGCTACATATAATCAGTACAATATAAAACAAGAGGCCCATGAGTCACAATGCTCATCTGAGGAATACAACCCTTCTTCATCAACAGATTCTTTTTCCTGTACATATTCCTACTTAAAATTTGATATCATATTGTAGCCCCACCCTTTTCCCAAGAGTCATGATTAACAAACTTGAAATTACACACCCGAGGATGCTTCCATGTAATCACGACTAATCATGACTTTGCTTGAGAAGATTTATACAGATTTTTCCTATATATTTGTAGGTAATACTTTCATCCTCTACTGTGTCCCCACCCTACCCCCAGGCATCATGCTTTGAAAAACTTGAATCTAAAAAAGTTGCTGAGGGTGCTTTATTGTCAATATGACTAATCATGCCTTTGCTGTTCTGAATACAAAACAAGATTTTCCCTATGTATTCCCATGTAAAACTCTGATTGCCCGCACTTGCCCCACCATACTCCCAGGGACATGAATTGTATAAAACTTAATTATTCTATGTCAGGAAGCTTTTACTTGGGTTTCGTATTTTCAAGCCTAGTGGTTCTTAAGAACATTTGAACGATCATACCAAATTTTTACTGTTTCTTAATTATCTCTGCTGGGAAGAGATGTGGTCCTTCGTCAGAATGAATTTCCTTTACCAAAGCATGCTTTGTACGAAGTTTGTTTGAAATTGACATAGTGGTTCTAGAAAAGAAGGTGAAAATGTGAAAAATTATGAAGGAGATGGACAAATGCACAAATTTTGATCAGAAAGAGCTCACTTGAGCCTCCAGCTGATATGAGTTAATGCTAAATAGAGATGTTAGTGTGAAATAATTAATTCAGGAGGTAATTGAATTAGATCCCTCTTCCTTAAAACTTTGATCATTTTTTGTGGTCCCACCCTACCCCAGGAGATCATGAATTGAACAAACTTCAATCTACACTACCTGAGGATGCTTCCCCCACTTCTGCCCCACTCTACACCCCGTGGTCATGATTTGAGCAAACTTCAACCTACACAACCTGAGGATAATTCAATATAAATATGACTGATCATTAGTTTGGTGTTCTTGAGAAGATTTTTAAAGATATTTCCTATATATTTCTATTTATAAATTTGATCCCCTGTTGTGGCCCCATGGCTAAGCTGTGCTTAAGATGAATATTCTTTAATGAGTTTTCCTATATATACCTATGTAAAAATTGTTCCCCTGTTGTGACCCCGCCCTGAAAAAAATAAGGCAGAACATTCAAGAACTTAATGAAAATTGTGGACTTCCTGATACCACATCAGAGCGGAAGGACATGCCAGATATAATAATGCCACCTTCAGTGCCATGAAAAACCCCATTCCAAGCTGCCACCAATGTGACTTATACCACAAGTGAAAATGTTACTCAGAGGAAAAATGTTGTGGCAGTGTTGTGTGGGAATAAACTATGCAAGAAAGGCAGACACCTGAGAAGCAAAGGAAAGGAAGTTATCTGCCTAAGACACGAAGACTGCACTGCAACCATTTCTCCAGAGGCCACCACTGAAGATGAGAAGAGATGGGCTGCAAAATGGTGAGTTACAAAGTGATGACCGTCCACTAGTCATTTCCCATTTCACCAGTGATGGAGATGGAGCAGCTGCATCTGGTGAATCTGAAAAACAAGGACATGTCATTGAAAACCTTAAAGACTTGCATCATTTCTTTGACTCTCAAAGACAACAGAAGAAATCCAAAACTGCGAAAAATCCAAAACTGTTAAAATGCATGTACAGTATATATCTCAAAGAAAATACTGTAGATCTAAAAGATATCAGCTCTACAATAAAACATAGGTAATCAAAGATTACATAACTCAACTCAATGAATGTTTGTGTAAGGCAAAGTCCCACACTAAACAAATAACCTAGTAGTGTGCATCCCTAGATGCAACATTTATGCAATTTTGTTCTGATAGGGCTTTACAGTTACTTGGGAATGGACTAATCTAAGAACTTTTAACTTGCCAATTATCCAGAAATCCAGCATCTGAAGCAAGTTTGAGAATGTTCATCCCTTGATGCATCATCCTTGCAAGTTCGGTTCAGAAAGGCCTTATAGATTCTTGGTAATGGACCTGAACCAAAAACTTTAACCTGGTCACTCATCTGGAATATGTAGATCAAATCAAGCATCTGAAGCAAGTCCAGTAGTGTGCATCCTTAGATGTATCATCCATGCAAGTCGGGTCAAGGTACAGCAAATAGTTACTTTAGAATGATCCTGCTCCAAAAACTTTAACCTGGTCACCCATCTGGAAAACGTAGGTCAGATCCAGTATCCGAAGCTAGCCTGGTAGTGTGCATCCTTAGATGTATCATCCATGCAAGTCTGGTCAACATGGGTCTATAGTTACTTTAGAATGCACCTGTTCTATAAACTTTAACCTGGTCACTCATCTGGAAAATGTAGGTCAGATCCAGCATCTAAAGAAGGGTGGTAGTTAGCATCCTAAGATGTATCATCCATGCAAGTTTGGTCACGATAGGGCTTATAGTTACTTGGAAATGAGACCTGCCCCAAAAACTTTAACCTGCTCCAAAATCTTCAACCTGCTTTAAAAACATTAACCTGGTCATCTTTTAGCTGAAATTGCAGCATCTGAAACCTTGACTGGTACAAAGAAACACACTATAAACATCTTCCATGCAACTCTGATTTATGTAAGGCATAGAAGTGCTGAAAAAGAAAACTGCTACAAAAACTATAACCTGGGACGCCGGAGGTATCACATAAGCTCCCCCAACTTCTTTGAGGTGAGCTAAAAATCTAAAGACACTTACAGTAAATCAGTAACAGATTCAATATTAAAAAGGAAGTTGTGTGAAAAGGGAGGGGGGAGGGAGGGGAGTGGGGGGCATTGATGCTGTGTATTTAATTTAAATGTATGAATTTTGTAATTAATAAATAATTTGTAAATTTATAGACTATATAATAATTGTTGTTATGTTTTATTATGCACTGATTCATTCAACTGTGTAAATGGGGAAAATGTGGAAATGTAAATGATGTATAATTGTATGAGTAAAATGTGACATTTTCTTATATGAGGGAGTCCATACATGTAAAAATGTTTTAATTTTATCTTATTAAAATTATTTTAATTAATTATCTTGTTTTTCTTACCTATCTGATGAACACAACAAAGGTTACAGAGGTGATTGGTAGAAATACGGGTGTCAAAACTCTCTGTTGATGACCAGACAGCATACTGCATTGTATATCCGCCATTACTGATCTTAAACATGGGAGACAACTCCTGAAATCAGAGAAATTGTAGTCAAAATGAGAGTTACCTGTTACTCTTTAGGTCCGACACAATGAAATAATTTCACTAAATGTTACTATATACATGTAGCTTCAATTAAATTAATTAATTAACTTAGACTCTAAGCAGATAATCAATGAAAGAGAAAATAAAGATTAATGCTTAAACAAACAAGAGGCCCAAGGGCCTTAACGGTCACCTGAGTACAATACAAAAATTTAGAGGATCCATAAACTGATAAATGAAGCTCTGTTGCCCAAAAGCAAGAAAATAGTATGATTTGCATCAACAATATAATTGGTCTAGTAACTATCTGTCCCCCATTTATCACTATTACCATGCAGAATATCAACAAACTGTCTATTTTTTAACCCCATATTTTTACTTCTCACATTGGCCTCTCTTGGCCTTTGAAGAACAATTAAAAAGGATAAGTTATTTTTGTCTCAATTTTATTCATCTATTATTTCCAAGTCTACCTGGGGCCATGAATTTCACAATTTTGGAAGAGGCATTCTTCCTTATAACCATGCACTTCCTTTGTTTGAAAAATACCCAGGAGTAGAGAAGAAAATTTTGAAAAAATTTATGCATTTTCCCTATATAATCAATAGAGCCCCACCCTTACACTAGGACCCCTGATCCAGGGGCCATGAAATTCACAATTCTGGAAAAGGCAACCATGCTTGTCATAACTATGCACCAAGTTAGTTTATTTAAAATCCAAGAGCAGAGAAGATTTTCAAAGAACTAATGCAATTTTACTATATAATCAATAGAGCCCCACCCTAACACCAGAACCCCTAACCCTGGGGCCATGAAATTCATAATTTCTAAAAAGGCAGCCATGTTCACCATAACTGTGTTCTTAAATACTTTATTTAATACCCAGGAGCAGAGAAGAAGATTTTCAAAGAATTAATGCATTTTCACTATATAATCAATATAGCCCCGCCCTAACACCAGAACCCCTAACCCTGGGGCCATGAAATTCACAATTTTGGAAGAGGCACTCTTGCTCATCATAACTATGTACTTAGTTGGTTTATTTAATACCCAGGAGCAGAGAAAAAGATTTTCAAAGAATTAATGCATTTTCACTATATAATCAATAGAGCCCCACCCTAACACCAGAACCCCTGACCCTGGGGCCATGAAATTCACAATTTTGGAAGAGGCACTCTTGCTCATCATAACTATGTACTTAGTTACTTTATTTAATACCCAGGAGCAGAGAAGAAGATTTTCAAAGAACTAATGCATTTTCACTACACAATCAATAGAGCCCCGCCCTAACACCAGAACCCCTGACCCTTGAAACATGAAATTCACAAGTTTGGAAGTGGCACTCTTGCTCATCATAACTATGTACTTATTTAGTTTATTTTATATCCAGGAGTAGAGAAGAAGATTTTCAAAGAATTAATGCATTTTCACTATATAATCAATAGAGCCCCAACCTAACACCAGAACCGCTGACCCTTGGGCCATGAAATTCACAATTTTGGAAGAGGCACTCTTGCTCATCATAACTATGTACTTAGTTGGTTTATTTAATATCCAGGAGCAGAGGAGAAGATTTTCAAAGAAATAATGCACTTTCACTAGATGATCTATAAAGCCCCACCCTAGCACCAGAACCCCTGACCCTGGGGCCATGAATTTCACAATTTTGGTAGAGGGCTCAATGCTTATTACAATCATGCTAACAGTTTGACTGCTTGATGTCCAGGAATAAAGAAGATTTTTAAAGATTGCATTAATTTTGGTGGTTTTAGCCCCACCCCTTAGGCCCCAGGGGGGCAGGGACCATGAAATTCAAAATTTTTGTTCCCCTTCACCCATAGAATGCTATATGCCAAATTTGGTTGAAATTGGTTGAGCGGTTTCAGAGAAGAAACTAAAAATGTTCAAATGTTAACACACATTGCACGATGACAGACAAAAACGGATAGCTATAGGTCACCTGAGTGACTCAGGTGACTTAAAAATTGAGACCAGAAAAAATACACCCTGACAGTAATTAACAGTAAACATATCTACCCTGAAATACACGTAGGCTTCACATGTTAACAAACATACTACACACCATCCAGGATGTTGCACCATGCACACCTAAAAAAAAGTTCCTTTAATTAAGTGGGACAATTCTGCTAAAGATATGATATTCTTAGATCATGAGTCCAAAATTAATACTGTAGGCCTAAAATAAGATGCCAAAAATGAAAAATAAAAATAAATTGTCTCTCGTTATATATACAACTATAACTGACTAAGTTCATTTTGATTGGCTGTTTCCTTTGAACATACTCACGTCTTGTAATGAAATCTGTATTCATTTCTGAAAATATAAGTGCATAACATCAAAATCACTTTTCTTAAAGTTCTCCTCAGAAGAATATTATCTATGAGTGAAGGCAATGTCTATCATAAATTGAATGTTCTAGTAGTGTGCACATCTACATGCCTTACCATACAAGTTTGGTCTAGTAAGGAATTATAGTTTCTTGGGAATGTCCAAAATAATCATCCTGAAAATAAATGTCTTATCATCCAGTTAAGTCAGAAGCATCATCCATGCAACTTTTTGTACAGGTAGAGCTTATAGTTACTTGAAACTTTGGTACTTTGTAAAAGTTTTATGGGCAAGTTCATTCCCAAGTAACTATAAGCTCTACGCTTAAAGTTACTTGGGAATGAACTTGCCCATAAAACTTTTACTGGGATGTCAACACACTTATAAAGCAAAAGCTCATCTCGACTTTGTTGAGGTGAGCAAAAAATATTCAGTTTACTGCCTTTTGAACATTTGTTGTCACATTGTAGAATTGGTAGTGTTTTCTTTAAATATGATTAATTATTATGCTGAGGAGTGTCCAAGAAATGTAAAACAATGTATTCTCTGGGGGAAAAAGTGATTCTATCACACCATCTAAGTTTGTTGATATGCCAGTCTAACCTACCAAATGAACCACTTGTAGAAATCTTTATGGATGAGGAATTAGTGTCTTATAGTCATCCTGCCTCCCAATGATGGCATCATCAGAATCTGTCTCCATTCACTGTAATTATGACAAACTATTGCATAATTTTAAGTTGAAAGGAAAGCAAATGATATTTATATGAAATAACAAGATGTGTTTGTGAAACATTGTTGTCCCCTATGGCAGTTCAAGACAAAGGTTTGGATTTTTCAAATTTAGGTTGAGGTCTACAAGGTTAAAGTGAAGAGTTCAAAAAGTGTTTGTATTCAAAGAAAGGTCTTGTCACAACAAATACCATCTTCTTAGTCAAAGGTTTCTGATCTGCTACTCTCCTTACAAACCCTTGGCATATGGTGCTGTCAAAAGATGGGAAGTACAGTCTAAGCAAAAAGTCTGAATCAGATCTGTTCATCAATTTTTAAAATCTCTTATACAGATAAAATGCAGGAATGTTTTTGAACTCAGTCAAATTAGTTTATCAGCTAAAAGACATGTTCAGGACATACATGTATATCAAAACATACAAACAAAGTGATTACAGTCTTTTGTCCCTTTTAAGTCTATTTGCTTTAACGGGAGGGGATGGGTGGGTACTGATTACAATTACTCGCCCAAAACCTTCAATTAAATTACCATTACCATTACAAGGATTTTGAAATGTAATTAATTAAATTACAATTACTTTGCAAATGTAATTAATTAAATTACAAATTACATTAGGAAAAAACGTATAAAAATAAACAATGATAAATAGTCATGAACATTCATTTATATTCATATACATTTAGTAACTTTTTTTTTACATGAAGTAAACATTGTTTAGATGTTATTATGAATTTTTTAAAAATTGTCCCCTAACCTACATCCATCAGATTTTTCTGCCACAATGAAGATATTTTACACTGGGGCATTTGTGACATGAATACTTACCAGTAAATACTGACTAATAGCAAGTTTCAGGGCTTATTATAAATATTATTGACCCTTTTTGGTCCAGGGTCCTGTACCCTTTTAATTGTAAATTTTTCATAGAAAAGTGGCAAAATTGGGAAATGTTGTTGAATTTTATTTATTTGTTGATTAAAGAGTTAAATAGTGGACTTGTTCCCTATATACACATAATATATATCTTTAAAAATGATTAAAATTTCAAAGCATGTTATTTCTATATATAAACAGCATCAAAAAATTGAATTTGGTCATCAGTTGGGAATCGTTACCTCAATTTAGGGAAAAAAAGAGAGCCAATTTTCAACTGGGACATGGTCCTTTTACAGGACCCGGATGCTGTTTTACATTAATTCATGTGTCCGTTTTTTAAAGCTTTCTGATATATTTATGGAAAACAATGGGTGCATTTTGCCTTGTTTCCTGCTTTTTTATCATCCTAAGCAATATATCTCAAAATGTTATATTTGACATATTGTGTGTCAAACTACTGTCTTCCCACAAATTTTTAATATATTATAAATATTGGTGTTATAACACCAAATTATATATTACAAAAAAGATTTGTGGGAAGACATAGTCAATGTATGTGTACAAAACTACCATTAGGTATATACTAGTCAAAATGAGTGTAAAATCTCTATTTAAGTTTAGTGTCAATATGAACATGACCCTAGGGCACTAATTAGCACCTGTTAATCACTTCTAAGACAAGCTGTAGGTATGGCAAACAAAGAATTAGAAGCCATTAGACTAGATATTTTAAGTGTCACTTCATACACAACTTAATGGAAATTATTTATTTTATTTTTACATTATAAACAAAGAGATAAATATGATTAAAAAGTGTTGAAGAAAATGCTTTTTAAAGAGGAAACAGCAATTCAATAAATAAAGGAAATATATGATTAAAAAAAAATTATTATAGAACATTTTGTAAAAATAAATCAGTTAACCTTTCTTGAATAAAGTGTATGGGATTTGAAGGGGTGGAGGCTATTTCTCATTTATTAAACACAGGTGTAATTGAATGTAATTGAAAAGTAATTGTGAATTACATGCTTTTCTTGAAAGTAATTAATTAAATTACAATTACATGTAATTGAAAATTGGGTCAATTACACATTACTTTCAATTACATCAAAATTCGTAATTAATTACAGTCAATTACCATTACACATTACCATTACCCAATCCCTGGAACTGAATAGCATCTTTTGATTTTATCAAATGACAACTATGTTAACCTACCTTTTCTCATCTTTGCTCCAGCCTTTTCTTTCTACTTGTTTTACCAGGAAAAATGCACAAAATTTTCATTTTAGGTGTTGTACTACATTTTAACATCTTAGAATTTTATGAAATGGGATCTTTTTTCACAGTTTTCATCAAAAGAGCAGATCTGAAAAAAAATAATGACCTTCTTAAGAGATATATGAAGATGCATATGCCTATTATGAAAGCATTTCCATATTCTAAGAAAATAAACCACCAAATACATGTACTTGTTTTTAACCAAAAAATACTGTATAAGAAATTTAGAAATTTACCCCCAAATTTTTAGCAAGAAGTAATTTAAGTGATTTTGTAATATCAAGAGAGAAAGCTATAACAGCCAAAATAGAATAAATTGTTAGCAATATTCAATTTTAGCAATCTCAGTTCCCTCACTAAAAATGCCAAAATTGAATCCTCCCTAAAAATTCTGCTTCTATGGTAATTTGAATTCTCAGAAATTATACTCATTTACAGAATTGCAAATGATTTCTTGCAATGACAAAGAATTTAAAATAAGTATAGACGATTATAAAATACAATAAAAATCTTTGAGTATATCTGGTGCAGTTTTTTGGGGTTATCAAACACATTTTTAAAATTGTTCTTTCATTTGCAAAAATTCCAGTGAAGTAAAATATGAAACTAGGAACATTACTTCATCAACCAAAGAATAATAAAAACAAAGAGGGAGTTTCGATAAGGCGGTTTTTCGGCCCCTCACGAAATTTTCTGAAATTTTTTATATTTTGTAGAAAAACTCCTTATTGTCCAAAAAATATGAAAATAATTTATGTGACGCATTTTCCGGTCACGTGATAATTGAAAATTTAAGTATACCCCCTTTCGTATATTTTTGGAGGAGACATTTTTATAGGGGGAAAGTGGATTTTTTAAATCATCAAAATAATAAATGAAATAGGGTAAATATGAATAAAGACATAAATTAACCAATTTCAACAATTCTTTTTACGGAAAATGGTATTTACCTTACGCGAATGTTTTTTTTTTAAGGTGTGATATTTTTCTGGTGTGTTAAATGTTACTTTTCTTTAAAAGAGGATGAATTGATCTTATAAAACGTAAACATATATAGAAAGTTTTAACATCATAATTAATCGACAGTTTATATGTAAACTTTACAATCAATATTTAACATTTTCCCATACGAAAAATGCAAATGAAAAGATATATGGACATGAGATAGGTAAACGTAAAAACGTCATATACAGAGATATGCAATACATTTTCATCAATGAGATTATACAACTACATATTTTATAAAAATATACCTTAATATCATAAAATTGAAATTAAAGAGGCTGGGGGGTTGTGGCCATTTTTAGACTATATTGATCTCCTTTAGAAGAAGAGCTCCATATGAAGATATAGAAAATGATCAAATTTTAAAACTAAAATTTTTGAAATTTTTCTTTGCCAAATGATAGTTGACAGCTTCAGATATCATATCTAAAAATTAAAGTTAAATCTGGTGGTTAATTTGTGCTTAATTTGTTGACCCCCCAGCCTCCTTAAATAAAATGTTTTGAAGTAAAAAGATTAAAAAAATAAATGCAACTTTATATACATACATGAATAAGAAGTTTATTTAAAAGAATCATATTGCTATGTAAGCCGGTACGTTGTAGGTGCAAGGTAAGAAAAATATTTTATCTGGCAGCCACCACATAATTATTTGGCGGCCACTAGAAAAATATATCTGCCAAATAGCTTTCCTGTGGCCAAAACATAAATAACTGGCAGCGACCAGAAACTTATTTGGCGGCCAACACATAAATAACTAGAAGCAGGCAAGTAAGTTTCTTGCGGTGTAGACATGTAATCTTGCTAATAAGGCATGAAACTCCCAGATTTGACTACAAACAGAAGTTGTAGATGTCGTTAAAGGCAGAGATTTTAAGCACCGCCTTTAAAAATACCTGGTCTGTGTACCTCTGTCAATCAAGTGCATTAAGGTACATCATTGGGTGCTACAACTTGATTGGCAAACCACTAAATTTTTTCTGGCAGCCGCCAGATATTTCAATGGCAGGCCAGATAATATATATTTTTTTTACCTAGCACCTACCGGCTTCAGTATATTGCAATGTATTTGATAATATGAATAATATTAATTACAGTCAAAAATATTTTATCATGATACGTAATATGTGAATAGCCAAATGATGGAAAAATCTATAATACATTGAGTGTTTCCTTTTCATTATGAAACTTAGAAGTATTTGCCTGCATTATGTTTTCAGCATAACTGAGAGAATCCCAGCCAGGACTAATTTCCTATCGCTTCCCCGCTCTCCATAGATACTTAAGTTGCTTCACCAACTCTAGTCACTCCTCATTTAGAGAGTTTTAGAATTCATTATAAATGATTTGCTAGACCAAAGCGCAGTTCGAAATACACATGTTAATGCCAAAGATATGTGTTTAATCCTTAATCAGGCTGACATATGCGCCTAGACATCCAGACTTAAAACAATCCACATTCCCTATATGTCAATCACACGGAAATACATGGGCACTTCTCTAGCATGTTGGAGCATGAATTTCTATACAAGAAAGTCAAAAATATTTGTATTTTTGACTTTCTTGTAACTATGCATGATAAATAACGTTAAGGAATGGACTTGCTTTAAAACTTTTTTGTTCAGTCAGTCAGAAAATGTAAGAAAGTTCCAGCATCTGAACCATGTCTGGTAGTGTGCAATCCTAGATGCATCATCAGTGCAAGTTTGGTTATGAAAGGGCTTATAGTCACAAGAATGAGACACACTTCAAAATCTTTAACCTGCTCTATCATTAAGGAAATGTAGGACATATCCAGCATCTAAAGCAATCTAATAGTGTGCATCTGTAGATGCATCATGAAGCAAGTCTGATCAACAAGTGCTTACAGCTGCTCTGCTCCAAAAACTTAAACCTGCTTTTAAAACATTTACCTGGACATTCTTTGGCTAAAATCCAGCATTTGAAACCTTACTGGTGACAAGGAAACATGCTAGATCAGGTGACTGTGATTAATATAGGGCACAGATATACTTGAAAAAAAATCTGCTTCAAAAACTTTTACCTGGAACACCGATGCTGACGGTATTACAAAAGCTCCCCCAACTTCGAGGAGGTGAGCTAAAAATGTGACGTTAGCGTTAACGTTATATGTTGGCGACAAAAATAGTATCAAAATGAAGACAGGATACGATAATGTTTTCTACTGTTAATACATGTATAATCGAGAATCTTCTTTAATTCAACAAAATATGCTACTTTTGGCTTAGTATTTTAACACAGAGTCAGATCAAGAAACCAGGAGTTTCTACTTTTAGATATGCATGTTATGCAATTTTCAATTTTTGGATATGAAGTGCACAGGCGACACTCATCATATTTCAAGAAATTAGTGTGCAGAGTATATCTAATTACTGAACAAATTTAGGTGAGTGTTCCTCATGCACTTCATATTCTAAACATCGATTTATATTCTAAACATCGATTTATAAATGCCACCCTCTTATATTTTCCCATGAGCCTAATGTTAACGAATCTGAGTGTACATCTAAGTATGTATCAGCTACGGTGTTAATTCTTCTCATATTAACTTTTAAAATATAAATAACAAAAGTTAACATATTTATCTTGAATTCTAAACTAGTTTTGAAAAAATAAATTGAAATTTATTTTTAAGAAAAAGTGGGCTGCTGAGCGGCCTCATCGAAACTCCCCCTTTAACATCAAAATTTCAAACTCAGAATGTCTGGATCTAAACTGACTTGTTTTGTTCCAGCTTGACTGGGTTAGGTTTTAACTAGAGTGGGTTTGATTCTAAACTGACTTATTCATGTTCCTGTCTAACTGGATTAGATTTCTACCTGACTGGGTTAGGCTCTAAACTGACAGTTTTATGATTCTGCCTGACTGGGTTAGGTTCTGAACTGACTTGTTCATGTTTCTGCCTGACTAGGTTACATTTTTTCCTGACTGGGATAGGTTCTAAACCGACTGTTTTATGTTTATATCTGACTGGGTAGGTTCTAAACTGACTGTTTCATGATTCTGCCCGACTGGGTTAGGTTCTAAACTGACTGTTTCATGTTTCTGCCTGACTGGGTTAGGTTCTAAACTGACAGTTTCGTGATTCTGCCTGACTGGGTTAGGTTCTAAACTGACTTGTTTATGTTCCTGCCTGACTGGGTTAATTTCTTAACTGACTTGTTCATATTACTGCCTGACTGGGTTATGTTTCTACCTGACTGGGTTAAGTTCTGAACCGACTGTTTTATGCTTCTGAATGGGTTATGTTTCTACCTGACAGGGTTGGGTTTTAAGCTGACTGTTTTCTGATCTGTCTGACTGGGTCAGGTTCTAAACTGACTTGTTCATGTTCTTGCCTGACTGGGTTAGGTTTCCACCTGGCTGGGTTAAGTTTCTTCCTGACTGGGTTAGGTTCTAAACTGACTGTTTTATGATTCTGCCTGAGTGGGTTAGGTTCTAAACTGACTGTTTTATGTTCCTGCCTGAATGGGTTAGGTTCTAAACTGACAGTTTCGCGATTCTGCCTGACTGGGTTAGGTTCTTAACTGACTTGTTTATGTTCCTGCCTGACTGGGTTAATTTCTTAACTGACTTGTTCATATTACTGCCTGACTGGGTTATGTTTCTACCTGACTGGGTTAAGTTCTGAACCAACTGTTTTATGTTTCTGACTGGGTTATGTTTCTACCTGACAGGGTTGGGTTTTAAGCTGACTGTTTTCTGATTCTGTCTGACTGGGTCAGGTTCTAAACTGACTTGTTCATGTTCTTGCCCGACTGGGTTAGGGTTCCACCTGGCTGGGTTAAGTTTCTTCCTGACTGGGTTAGGTTCTAAACTGATAGTTTTATGATTCTGCCTGAGTGGGTTAAGTTTCTACCTGACTTGTTTGGGTTCTAAACTGGCTATTTTATGATTCTGCCTGACTGGGTTAGGTTTTAAACTGACTTGTTCATGTTCCTGCCTGACAGGGTTAGGTTTATACCTGACTGGGTTAGGTTTTGAACTAACTTGTTCATGTTCCTGTCTGACTGGGTTAGGTTTCTACCTGACTGGGTAAGGTTTTAAGCTTACTGTCTTACAACTCTATGTGACTGGGTTAGGTTCTTAACTGACTGTTTTATGATTCAGCCTGACTGGCTTGGTTTCTTAACTAATTGTTCATGTTCCTGCCTGACCGGCTCAAGTTCTAAACTGATTTGTTCATATTACTGCCTGACTGGGTTATGTTTCTGGGTTAGGTTCTGAACTGAATATTTTATATTCCTGCCTGACTGGGTTAGGTTTCTACCTGACTGGGTTAGGTTCTAAACTGACAGTTTCGTGATTCTGCCTGACTGGGTTAGGTTCTTAACTGACTTGTTTATGTTCCTGCCTGACTGGGTTAATTTCTTAACTGACTTGTTCATATTACTGCCTGACTGGGTTATGTTTCTACCTGACTGGGTTAAGTTCTGAACCGACTGTTTTATGCTTCTGAATGGGTTATGTTTCTACCTGACAGGGTTGGGTTTTAAGCTGACTGTTTTCTGATTCTGTCTGACTGGGTCAGGTTCTAAACTGACTTGTTCATGTTCTTGCCCGACTGGGTTAGGGTTCCACCTGGCTGGGTTAAGTTCTACACTGACTGTTTTATGATTCTGCCTGACTGGATAAGGTTTTAAACTGACAGTTTTATGATCCTGCCGCACTGAGTAAGGTTCTGAACTGACTGTTTCATGACTCTGCCTGAATGGGTTAGGTTCTAAACTGACTGTTTCATGATTCTCCCTGACTGCATTAGGTTCTTATCTGACTTTTTCATGTTTCTGCCTGACTGGGTTAGGTTTTTTCCTGACTGGGATAGGTTATAAACTGACTGTTTTATGTTTTTACCTGACTGGGTTACGTTCTAAAATGACTGTTTCATGAATCTGCCTGACTGGGTTAGGTTCTGAACCGACTTGTTCATGTTCCTGCCTGACTGGGTTAGGTTTCTACTTGAATGGGTTAGGTTTTAAAGTGACTGCTTCATGATTTTGCCTGACTGGGTTGGGTTCTAAACTGACTTGTTCATGTTCCTGCTTGACTTGGTTATGTTTCTACCTGACAGGGTTAGGTTCTAAACTGACTGTTTTATGACTCTGCCTGACTGGGTTAGGTTCTAAACTGACTGTTTTATGATCTTGCCGCACTGAATAAGGTTCTGAACCGACTGTTTCATGATTCTGCCTAACTGGGTTAGTTTTAAACTGACTTGTTCATGAACTTGCCCGAGTGGGATAGGCTTCCACCTGACTGGGTTAGGTTTCTGCCTGAATAGGTTAGGTTCTAAACTGACACTTTTATGTTCCTGTTTGACTGGGTTAGGTTTTAAGCTTACTGTTTTACAATTCCACCTCACTGGGTTAGGTTCTTACCTAAATACTACCTAGTCCTTGTTGCACCCGGAGGCACATAGGGCAAGGATTAGGGGTTAGGTTCTTAACTGACTTATGTTCCTGCCTGACTAGGTTAGGTTCTAAACTGACTGTTTTATGATTCAGCCTGACTGGGTTAGGTTTTTAACTGACTTGTTCATGTTCCTGCCTGACTGGGTTAAGTTCTAAACTGACTTGTTCATATTACTGCCTGACTGGGTTATATTTCTACCTGACTGGGTTAAGATCTGAACTGACTGTTTTATGTTTCTGACTGGATTATGTTTATACCTGACTGAGTTGGGTTTTAAGCTGACTTTTTCTGATTCTGCCTGACTGGATTAGGTTCTAAACTGACTTGTTCATGTTTCTGTCTGACCTGGTTATGTTTAATCCTGACTGGGTTAGGTTCTAAACTGCCAGATTTATGTTTCTACCTGACTGGTTTATTTTTCTACCTGACTGGGTTAGGTTCTTAACTGAATGTTATACAATTCTGCCTGACTGGGTTAGGTTCTAAATTGACTTGTTCATGTTTCTGTCTGACTGGGATAGGTTTCTTAATGACTGTGTTAATGACTGTGTTAATCCTGACTGGGTTAGGTTCTAAACTGCCAGATTTATGTTTCTACCTGACTGGTTTATTTTTCTACCTGACTGGGTTAAGTTCTAAACTGTCTTGTACATATTACTGCCTGACTGGGTTATGTTTCTACCTAAACTGCCAGATTTATGTTTCTACCTGACTGGTTTATTTTTCTACCTGACTGGGTTAGGTTCTTAACTGAATGTTATACAATTCTGCCTGACTGGGTTAGGTTCTAAATTGACTTGTTCATGTTTCTGTCTGACTGGGATAGGTTTCTTAATGACTGTGTTAATGACTGTGTTAATCCTGACTGGGTTAGGTTCTAAACTGCCAGATTTATGTTTCTACCTGACTGGTTTATTTTTCTACCTGACTGGGTTAAGTTCTAAACTGTCTTGTACATATTACTGCCTGACTGGGTTATGTTTCTACCTGACTGGGTTGGGTTTTAAATTGACTGTTTTCTGATTCTGTCTGACTGGATTAGGTTCTAAACAGACTTGTTCATGTTTCTGTCTGACTGGGTTATGTTTAATCCTGACTGGGTTAGGTTCTAAACTGCCAGTTTTATGTTTCTACCTGACTGGCTTAGGTTTCTACCTGACTGGGTAAGGTTTCTACCTGACTGGGTAAGGTTTCTACCTGACTGGGTTAGGTTCTTAACTGAATGTTACGCAATTCTGCCTAGGTTCTAAATTGACTTGTTCATGTTTCTGAACTGACTGTTTTATGATTAAACCTAACTGGGTTAGGATGTGAACTGACTGTTTTATGTCCCTGATTGACTGGGTTACATTCCTGACTGGGATAGGTTCTAAAATGAATGTTTTATGATACGCTCCGACTGCGTTAGGTTCTAAACTGACTAATTCATGTTTCTTACTGACTAGGTAATGTATCTTCCCGACTGGGTTAGGTTTTAAACTGAGTGTTTGATGTTTCTACCTGACTGGGTTAGGTTCTAATATGACTGTTTTATGTTCATGCCTGACTGAGTTAAGTTTCTATCCGACTAGGTTAGGTTCTTAACTAACAGTTTTACGATTCTGCCTGACTGGGTAATGTTCTAAACTGACTTATTCAATTTTTAGCCTGAGTGGGTTTTGTTTCTGCATTACTGATTTGGATCTGAACTGACTATTTCACGTTCCTGCCTAAGTGGGTTAGGTTTCTGCCTGACTGGGTTAGGTTCTAAACTGACTGAAGGAAGTCACTTTAAGTCTGGGTAAGCTAGGTTCTAAACTGACTTTATCATGTCCTTCCCTGACTGGAATATATGTTGTTCTGAACAAGATTCCTAAATGACCACACTCAAGTTTTTGCTTATTCTTAATTATTTCCACTTGAAAGGGGGCATGATCCTTCATTTAAATCTTTACACAAGGATACTCTGTGCCAAATTTGGTTAAAATTAGTTTCAGAGAAGAAGAGGAAATTGTGAAAAGTTAACCAAAAAATCAATGATGTAAATGACTACATGCTACAATCTAATTGAAATTAAATCCTTTGATCAGCTCACATATGATCGCTACACAAAGTGTGTAGGGATCATATGTGAGCAGATCAAAGGATCTAATTTTAATTAGATTGCACATGCAATGGACAAATTTGGATCAAAAAAGCTCACCTGTGCCACTGTGCAAAAGGAGGAAGGGGTATTGATGCTGTGTATGTAGTTTATATATGTTCTATTTTTATTACATATTAAAATTATTTTCAACAATTACCTTGTTATTTTACCTGTCCAAAGAACATGACAAAAAAGATAACAGGGTGATTGGTAGAAATATAGGCATACAGGTGTCAAAACTCCCTTTTGGTGAACAGTCTGCATCACTCATTGTTTATCCACCATTAGTGATCTTTAACAGAGGAGACTATGTAGGTTTCACATGTTGACAGTCTACACACCATTGAGTAAACTACATCATTTCCAACTAAAAGAAATCTTTTTTATTCACAATAAATGGATTGAAATATGCTGCTCAAAATAACTTCAAAATATCAATAACTTCCTCATTCAATTTAAAAAAAAATCTTATTGAAAATACCAGATCATAAGTTTAGTTTAAGTACACTTCATACTTTCTTGGATGTTAACAAACCTAGATGAAAATGGCAGATAGGCAAGTTCAATTGCTGGTGATCAGATACAAGAAGCTCAGGCAGGTCCAATTGCTGTTGACCAGATACACTTAGTGGTTTGGATTGTGCTGACCGGGATGTCGGCATGGGTGGATTAGAGCAGCTTACAAGCTATGCAGGAGTCCAAGTTTGATTCCCTGTCAATCCTTTCCAGTTATAATATTAAATTAACATATGAAAAAGCATAGATATTAGCGAGCGCAGCGAGCAGTGCAAAGCGCCGCTCATCACTGGGAGCTCTAAAAGCAATGCCTGGGCGAAGAGAAAATTCTGACTTTGCAAATTGATCCAAATGAATTTTTTTCCACAGTTACCTGTGGTCCCATAATGCTTTGCGAATTGCTTCTCCCCACAAACAACGTTCTCGCGGTAGCAAGAAGTTCCCAAAAAAATATACACCCACGTTGATTTGATGGATATATAGCAGACAAATAGTAGATTAAAACTTCTTTATTAAAATAAGCCCTGTTCAGACTTTGTTTTGGTAATGCTACTTACAAGCGACGTTATATGACGTCAGAGTCTAGACGTACTAAAGTTCTCGTGCAGTTTGATAACTTTGAAGAGCCCGATCTAAATTAAAACTGAATATAGGTATCTGCGCTCACCCTTACGGTCGCACCGTCAACATATTAAAAATATACAAGACATTGTACATTCGAAAATGACAAAATAATTCCCCTACTCTCGCACTGAAAGTCTTCAAACTTCTATACATTTATAATATATATATACACACTTTTGAATAAATTCACTAAATTCTAAAGAAAATAAGGAGCTGTGTAAGAGTGTGGGGTGCTAACTTTATTGAAAAATGAGAGGGGTAGATGTTGATTATACTAGGCCTACGTTTTCTAGTGGGGTTTCTAACATAAACCATAAATACACCTCACCCTCCGGCCGCCAGTCCGCTTCTTTTTTCTTATACAATGCACATAACACAGCTCATCGATGTAGCATCAATGTTCGGTGTATTTTTCTTTGTGACCTCTTCCGAGTCTTCGTTTCTACTTCCGTTTCATTTTCAGTTCTTGCTAATCATGCCAAACGTTATTTCTCCCGCCGCTAAACTAACTTCGGGATCGATGTACTCAGCTACATAATATAAAACTGAAACCATACCGGAATTAATTTTCCCGAACTGCTTGACTGGTTAAGTAATAGACTCTACCTTTACATTCTACCGGTCATATTGGCATCTTTCTCGTTCATGTTGCTTTACGGCCCCACAGCGCCGCTACCTTACTAAATCCGCCAACATTCCTTCTTTCCCGTTTGTGCTTAAACCAAGACTCAGCTTTTAACTTATAATCTGAATCTGACTGGTTATAATTTAATCATATCCAGAATGTCCGACTCAAAGTCTATTCTGTCCGATCCATGGTTAAATCGCGATAACTAATTATTACGACAATGTTGAAATCGCTTTGAACGATAGTAGTAAAAACAGTAAACTTTACTGGAAATTGATGAGAGATTTGTTTAATGTTAAAGCAAAAAAAGAAATTCCCCCTTGCAATACTACGAAAATGGAATATCTAAATTAGCCTTTTCAGATACAGACAAAATAGAAACATTAAATAGATATTTTTCATCAATTTCAAATATAGAAGTACGAATTGCACATTGCCTAACTTGTACTATTTATGTAATTAAAATATTTCTAACATTCAAATACAAGATCAAGAGGGTCTTGATATTATTTCGATTTTGCCTGTTAATAAGGCTACCGGTCCGGACAGTATAAGTCATCGAATGTTAAAATGTACTAAATTTACGATATCAAAACCCTTATGTCTGCTTTTCAATAAGTCACTTTCAGAAAAATCATTTCCAAGCAATTGGAAAATAGCGCATGTATTGCCTCTATTTAAGAAAGACGATCCATCTTTAGCTAGTAATTACAGGCCAGTTTCCCTTCTGAGTTGTATCATTAAAATTATGGAAAGAATAATTTTTAAACATGTTTACAACTTCTTCCATGAAAACCAATTATTTTACAAATACAAGGCTGGTTTTTTGCCGGGTCATTCTACTGTTTTTCAGTTATTGGAAACATATCACAACATTGTTAAAAGTATTGAGGATGGAAAAATGTGTTGTATGATTTTCTGTGACTTATCAAAAGCTTTTGATCGAGTGTGGCATGAAGCATTAATTTTTAAACTTCAGTCATATGGTATTAGTGGAAATCTTTTACAATGGTTTACAAGTTATTTATGCAACAGATCTCAAAGAGTAATGTTTAAAAATAAGCTATCGTCAATTTTACATACCAATGCTGGAGTGCCTCAAGGGTCAGTGTTAGGACCACTTTTATTTCTTATTTACATTAATGATGTAGCAACCAATATGTTATCAATATGTAGATTGTTCGCTGACGACAACTCATTACAACATTCTGATTTGTACATTAGAAATATTGAAATTGTCTTGAATCATGATCTGAAAATATTCAGTGACTGGTCAGATAAATGATTATTGAAATTTAATCCGTCTAAGACAAAAGTTGTTTTTTTTTCACAAAGAAATATGTAGAAAAATATCCTAAATTATATTTCCAAGGAAGTCAACTGGATTATGTTACGACCCATCGTCATCTTGGTTTACTTTTTTCTGAAGACCTGGGCTGGTCTGAACATATCAATAATGTTGTAAGCAATGCATACAAAAAATTAGGCCTCTTAAAGAAACTTAAATTCACCCTTGGCCAAAAAAAATTATCTAAAATGTATATCACATTTATAAGACCAGTTCTTGAATATGCTTCCGTAGTATGGGACGGTTGTAGATTATCTGATATGGATAGGCTAGAAAAGGTTCAGTTAAGTGCCGCAAGAATTGTTACAGGTTTACCAATTTTAGCATCGAAAGAATCTCTCTACTTAGAGACGGGGTGGGAACCTTTAGACAAACGTCGTCATACTGCTAAGTTAATAACTATGTTCAAAATTCACACCAATCAAGTACATGAATACTTAAGCAGTATCATTCCCCCTAAAATAAAAAAAATGTTTCATTGCATAATACACGAAACAGTGAAGATCACAAGGTTCCAACCAGCAGATTAGAACTCTACAAAAAATCTTTTGTACCCGACAATATTCGAAAATGGAACTCACTGAAATTAGAAGTCGGAGAAGCAACTTCTCTTAATACTTTTAAAAAAAAATATCACTGATATAATTACCAAACCCCCGAAATATTTTTCGTTTGGTAAACGTACTATCAATATGTACACAACTGTTTGCTAAATTATGATCTCTACAGACGAAATATTATTGATTATCCTAAATGTATTTGTGGTCAGAATGAGGATGTTCACCACTTTTTCTTTGTTTGTAAAAGATATATAAGAGCAAGAAATAATCTTTTTGACAAACTTTTTAGACTGGAAGAAACGATTCTAATAGACGCACATCTGTTGTTATGGGGTACTGATACTTTGTCTTATGATATGAACTGTTTTATTTTTTCAGCAGTTCATAAATTTATTAATGAATCTGGAAGATTTAATTAACATTTCAATTTATTTACGTCACTTGCCAATATTATTTACTATGTTATCATTGGGACAATTGTACTAACTGTATTAACGTTACTAACACCAGGAGAAGAACTTGTAAGTTGTAAGAACTTGTTTCTAATCCTTTTGTGTTAAGCAATAAAATATGTTCAAATCAAATCAAATGCAAACTTTTATTTTTCCATATTATTCTTTAATATCTACATTTATCCATTAACTATATGTTGAATAACCTTGGAAAGACTTTGCAGCATTTATCATTTCTTTACAAGAATAACCACTGTGTATAGATTATGTCGCACTTAATACTGCATTAAAAAGAGAGGGTCCAATTCATCCTAGTCTGAATAAAATTATGTTCAAAAATAGATTCAATATAACGACCACTTCCTGTTTTTCATAATAGTAAGTATAGGAATCATATATTGACAGTCTCAACTGCATGTCTATATATAGCCGAAAATATATTTATATACGATATATACAGTAACTAAACAGGAATAATGGCGACACCATCTACATTACATAAACTTCCTCTACACTCTGCAGCAAAAGAAAATGATATTGTTAAACTCGAACAATTTTTTCTTGATGGAGATTCTCATACAGTTAATCTACAGGACCAGCACGGTAGGACGGCACTTCACTGTCTTTTGGATTCTCCTACCTTTTCTGATTTGGAAGAAGTAAAGAGAGGGATTCAAATCCTTTTAGACAACGGAGCGGATATCAACATCCAAAACGAACATGGAGAGACGCCACTTCATACGGTGGTTAAAAACTATTTGGAATTTATTCCAGAAATTATTCGGTACATATTGACTCACAGCAAAAATTACGTGATGGACAAACAGGATGAGAACGGGTACTCTTTATTTCATTTGTTCATGTCTGACTTCAGTGACCTTGTCATAAAAAGTAATGGGTACAAGAAACTTTCGCAAGAAAAAAATGAATTCCTTCAAAGTTTACTCCGAGGGGAAATTTTGCAATACAATTTTTCTGCACTGCTAAATCAAAAGGAACGGAATGGGTATTCTGCGTTCCATACCTACAATGGAAATTCCGATTGCTCCCCAGAAATAATACAATTAATGGTCAGATGTGGAGGTGATGTAAACACAGCTTCTAAATTAGGAATCACCCCTCTTATGGAGTCAGTGCTCAGAGGGCGGAGGGATATTGTGGGAATTTTGTTGAAGGCAGGAGCAAACCCGAATCAAACAGACATATTTGGTCAAAGTTGTATCTTTCGTGTCTATACGAACGATTGTTTTGAATTGCTGAATCAGTTTGGCGCCGATTTTCACATTAAGGATAAGTTTGGAAGGATTCCGATCACAAATAATGCACTGTACACCCCAGAAGATCTCCCCCATTCAGGCATTGTCATCTCAAACGAATTCTCTCATTATCCACCTTTAATTGAAAAGTTTTTAGACGTTGGGATTAACATCAATGAATTAGACAAACATGGTTCCTCTGCACTTCACTATGGTGCGTGGTATGGAGATCCCACAATGGTGAGATCACTACTACAACATGGAGCAGATTTGAATATTTTGGACCACTATAGCTACTCACCTTTGGATTTAGCAATGCACGTAGGAAATGATAATCTTTACATATTCCTCGGTAACACAGATGATGGGGAAATTCGACCCGAGTGTGAAACAAGATATTGCAGACTTCTTATTAATGAAGCTGAAACAGACAATATGAAGACTGTGCTGAATGATTATTTAGGAATCAGAGATGATCCAATTTATCTTGTGACGTCACTTGCGAAATCCCCGAGGTTAGGAATGACAGATAAAAGACCCGAATCAAGGCTTATCAAGTCGGAGGTAACAGACCTGATGGAAAGAATAGCGGATGTTGTTGGAAAATTGAATCCGCTTTTTTCCTGTAAAATTTATCCAACAGGCAGTTCGTCTGAAGGTACAAAAGTGGGGGATCCAGACGAATTCGATTTTGTGTTCTGCTTGGAAAACTTTTCAAAACACTGTGTACCACACCAGGATGATGTTTTATTGAACAGCGGGTTTGTAAGTTTAAAGATTGAGTCTAGTGAAAGCGTGAAGAAATTTGATTTATTTCTTGATGGAAAGATTCTTTCAGCAGAAGGTGTTCGGGATACTTTTCAAGATCTGGTTACTTCTGCCCTGAATACCGCGAGCACATGGACCTCCGAATATTTATATTTCGACGGTCTTCTTGGGTTTCCCATGGATAAACCTGTTCTCAAACTGGAAATCCATTGGTTTGGACCCTTAATGAAGCACATGATAGTCGGTGTAGATATTGTTCCAGCGGTTTTGTCGAAGGATTGGCGACCCGTGGAATTAAGTGAAAAACAGCCTCTATTTTCTGTTGAGGAACAGTATATGTTTATTCTCAACTCACCAGAAAGCTATCAATGGAACGATAAAGACAGTGAGCATCTAGTGAGAATTTCTAGCTGTCTAATGGATAAACATTATCTAAAGAGCCTTCCTCAAATCTGTACTGAAAGTTACGCAGCAGCCAAAATTCTGAAAAGCTCTAATTTTTCTCCTAATGTTCAGTTTGACGATGATTTCACATCGACAGACTCCTCATCATTTGGTGATTTTGAAGAATCTTCTCAGAATTCGGACGGAAAACAAGACATTAATCCAATGAACAGAAATGGAAGACGTAACAAATACAAAAGGGAATACAGCGGTTACAACTCTCAAAATGTACATGCGTTCGTTAAATCGCTACCTTTTGAAGATCCAGTAGAGGTATCAACATCTAACGGACGATCTGATGATATCACTGACAGAGATGATACACAGAGATCAAAATGCAATTTTACCATGAATTGGCTCATGGACATTGATGATACATGCAAAGTTCGGAAGATATTTACCCCCAGAGATGAAAACGAGTTATTGATTGATGAGGGTTTTTGCAAAACCTCACCATCTGAAAAGAATAAAGATTAATCCATTTGTTGCAATAATCGGGAACCTGCAGAGAATGCAGATTATGAGGATAGTGGTGGAGTGCTAGAATCAACAGAGAAAGATACAAACGAAGACCCAATGAACAGTTACAACACATTGTCTCACTTGGGCTGTAATGATTGGAATAAAGCCGAAAAAGTCCCAAAGAGCGAGGAAAATTCATCTGATAATGTTGATTGGGAAGGCGGAGACATCGTTTCTGCATCAGATGAAATTTCAAGCTACATGTTAAAAATGTGTTTATTCCATGTTTTACAAGAAGAGAAAAATAGAGATTGTGAGGTTCCTTCGTACACTCTTCTAGAACTGACCATTAAAATTTACCAAAAGCTTCTGGCGTTTGCCAAACAAGGCCGTTTACCTTCATATTTTCTTCCCTTTATCGACGTCTTTACATACGTTAACAGCCACATTAGAGTTATTCCAGAAGAAGAATTAGAAATGGCGACAAAACAACAGTGTGAACGAATTCAAGCCCTCTGTAAAGTTATTTTGGGTATCTTAAAGCAGAATCCTAATGACTGCACAACCTTAAATGAAGATTCTCGGTAAAAAAATATTTATCTTCTGTAAAGGGTATCAAAAATATAAAAGCATTTAGTTGACCCTATTTTACGGGATCCTTAGAAAATTGATTGTAACTTCACTGCGATAAGTATGGACCATTGTGCATAACTGACTGTCTGAATAGGTAAGTGTAATTACGTTCAGTCAATTTCGTTTAGGAATGTCGTTTGGTAACGGCGCGCTATGTCCAGCTCATGATAATGTTATTGACGGTGTCTATTTTACTACAAGTATATTCCTTGAATTTGGGCACAAATAACTTTTGCACATTTTATCCAGATATCGTGAATTGGATTTAAATGTTGTTTATTTTGAAACGAAACGTTAGTGTAATGAAAATCTATCAGCTATACTTCTGTAGCTAGCATCTGTAGGCTTAGTGATTTTGTGGCTGCCAGGATGTTGGACTTCCAACCTACAAGTCTTCAATGGGAAATCAAGATAACTTTAAAAATAATCTTGTGTTAATTTTTATGCTTTGAAGGCATTATACCTGTAATTCTTGAAATGATATTACATGTATTCAAAATATAAATAACTATTTTAGCATTGTAAAGCTGATAACATTTGTTCATGGAATAAATTTTTAAAAAGAATACCATAAACATTATTGAAGTTCAGTTCCCAGCCTTTGAGTTAATATGTATTCAATTTTCTTTATATATAGTGACGTTTTTTATTAAATGTAAACAATATGAAAAAGGGCGGAATACATTTACATGTATCATGCAATGAAAACGATGAAAACAAAATACAAATAAATAACGGATGATGCAGGTGTCCCTCTAGAACTTACATGCGACCAGAAAGGGGAATAAATTGTGATTTTTTAAAAGTATATCCTTACAAATTTTAAAGTAAACAGAGAAGAGAATAAATTATACCTTTTAAGAAAAACATGTCTTAAAAAGGAAGATACAATCCACTTGGCTTGGTTATCTCTTAATTTGTCAATCAGTCACAAATTTTGTTCTGGTCACAACTCCCGAGCCATTCAGTAGACTGACTTCAACCTCTTGTATGTTCTTGTTTATGAACTTCATATTATGTTTTTCATTTACTTAAAATCATAACATGTAGAAGCTTTGAAAGACATAAGCCCATAATATTCACAAATGAACGCGTTTTAAATTATTAGAACTGTTTATTAAAGCTAAAAATATTCTATTCTATTTTCATTTTTTCATTTATTTATTTATTTATTCAATTATCGCTTTAAACAATTTTTTTTCTTTGTTCATAACAGATATATCCCCTTTCCAAACTAGATGCATTATCGCTGTCCACAATATACCGGAGTCGCAAGCGCGGCGCACTGATTAGAGCGTTTGCTCTATAGAGTAGCAGCGGAAATAGTTCATCCTTACGTCCCGGGTTCGAATTCACTGTGTGACGCGGAGACCGGTCCTTTGGATGAAACCGTATAAACCAAGGTCCCTTGCTGCAGTAGGTTTTGACAGAAAAAAAAATCCCTCACTGCTCAAAGATCGTAAGTGCCAAGTCCAGGTCTAAATATGCAGTCCTCAAACGGCAAGTGGTGGCGTCTCAATATGAGTAAAAAAAAAATCTCGAAGCGGCATTAAAAAAGCAAACATGTAAACAAACAATATGCTGGAGTGACCTTGATGACGTCATATTATCTATGCAAATACAAATGTACATCTACAATGGTCAACAACATATACTGACACGCAAAAGAAACGCAGCATCCTATTTTGGAGAAAAGATGCATACATATCAAGGTATAATTTTGTACATTAAAAAGGGATAGTTCTCACCATTGCATAGTCGGTTATTTTACGGCTGAATGAGTTTCATCCCATTTCCGGACCAAAATCCGAACCCAAATTAACGGAAATTTTAAATCGAACGTTTAACAAAATATTGACTAAATATTACGAACAGAGTTGTTTCTGTTCGACACAGTTCAGTGATTTTGACCGAGATTGACAAAGAAGTGTTCACAGCTCTGTAAAGGTGTGGTATAAATGTATCGATGGATATGGACATCCACAAGATTGGACATGGTGTCCTTTTGGTAAAAAAAAAATGGAATTGGAAGGTCTTGCATGTATCATTTTTAGTCGATGGCATGTTCTGAGCAAGGTTCTTCTTTGTTTGATGCCAAATGTTTCACATGAAATATAGAGATAACGAACAGTATTCAAGCTCAGAGTCCATTTAAACAATACAAATCGGGAGCAAAGCAAACACGGTCCTCCAAAACATCAGAGGTGGGATCAGGTGCCATGGAGGAGTGAGCATCCCCTGCCGACCGGTCACACCTGCCGTGTGCTCCTTGTCATAATAAGTAAATAACAGAAAAATCCGTCGACAATTCGATGTGTACATAATGGCGTAACAATTAATATGAAAAACGTCAGTCAGCATATGACTTAATGATAGATTGTTTTGCTGACAAGGTCATTGTATCACGACCATAGAACATACGAAATGATGACTTTAAACGAGACTGTTGATATCCTTGTTTTATCAACTTGTTTGTCAATAGCTTGCTTCTTTTAAGAAGTTGTTAATACGTAGAGCATGCTCTTGCGTATCGAATCAATTGACAGATATAAATCCCATTTGGTCGCCCGCGTGGCGCAGAGGTTAGAGCGTTTGCTCTAGAGTCGCAGGGTAAGGAGCTGATCCTTACGTCGCGGGTTCGAATCCCACTGTGGGACATGGGGACCGGTCCTTTGGACGAGACCGTATAAACCGAGGCCCCGTGTTGCAGTAGGAGCTGGCACGAAAAAGATCCCTCACTGGTCAATGGCCCTGAGTGCCGAGTATAGATCAAAATTTGCAGCTCTCCACCGGCAAGTGGGGGCGTCTCCATATGAGTGAAAAATTCTCGAGAGGAACGTTAAACAACAAACAAACAAACAAAATCCCATTTGCAGGTGATAAGGGTATATAGCTGCAAAAGTAAGGGAAGTTGACGATTGAAAAGTTAAAGTCATCACATTTAATTATCATAAAGCTTTGTTGTTAGATTACCATTAACGTCTTTTTCTAGTTAAATATCCAAATATGAAACAGATGTGTCAGACTGTGGTATCTTTTATTTCAAGCTCACTGGGATATACCGTGTCGACATAATTATGAATGGAAATAACTATTGTTGTTTGATAATAAGTCGTTTTATGATTTCAAATTTTCCAAAAGTTGCTTGGAATTTTTAAGTATCCACATCTGATTTACACCACTTCTCGATTATATTCAGTACTCCTGAAGTTTCTCCTCCATTGCTGTTAGTATTTTAGTGAGGAGTCAAGAAAGAGGCTTGGTAGAACATTTACTGGAACCCGCTATGTATCTTTGTTTGTAAGGATTTTTATGAAGTTTCGGAATCCAATAAAAATATGGTAATTCAAATTCGTTTTGGTTGTTAGGAATATTTAAAATATTCAAAATTGACTTATGAAAATCAGGACTGTTTCCTGACACGGAAGGCTAGAAACTACATTGTGTTATAGAAACTCAGTTGTGCATTTTGAATTATGGCACTGCATCGAGTTCTGTTGAAATACAAATTATTTGCTGGCGTCTATTTCGCAAGCACCCACAGTAGTAAGATTTTTCAGGATCTACTGTTGATGAAAGGTGAAGCTAGATAAGGAACTGTATGGGTCTGATTTTAAATTCGTTTGAACGATTTCAAAATCATTGGTTTAAAACACCATTAATCAAAACATTACATTGATTTTAACAAAACTGAAAACATCTGAGGTTGATATATAAAGAAGACCTATGCTCAGAACATGCCATTGACTAAAATGATACTTGGAAGGCTTTCGAGCGGAAGTGGTCCACAATTTTATAAACCATTCTTTGAAAAAAAAAATCATATCTTTTGTTTGTGTCTTTGGCAAGAAGCGTTTCATTCAAAATTGCGCATTTAATTTTTTTTTTAAAAAGCATGTTATATTTGAAAGTTTCTGAGTTTCGAAAATTACAAGTTAAAATGATATGTTGCATATCAGCTTCTATGGACAAATATGTAGCATATAATAGGAAGAAATATACCACCAAATAAATCATTAGTAATGTTAAATGTGTTATATTTCCATTTAAAACATTTCATTATACCTCTCTGATGACAACTTCCATTTTTAAAAGGAATCAATACACCAACCAGTTTGAATCTAAAAATAGATGAAAAGAATAAAGGAATAATGGCGACTTCGTCCGTAATCGAGAAACTTCCTCTTCATTCTGCAGCTAAAGAAAATGACCTAGTTAAACTCAAGCAACTCTTACTCGATGGAAATTCTCATACAGTTAATCTTCGGGATCAGCGCGGTAGGACGCCACTTCACTGTCTTTTAGATTCCCCTGCCTTTACTGATTTGGACGAAGTAAAGAGAGGAATTCAAATCCTGTTAGACAACGGAGCGGATATCAACATCCAAAACAAACATGGAGAGACGCCTCTTCATACAGTGGTTCAGATCTATTTGGAATTTATTCCAGAAATTATTCGGTATGTATTGACTCATAGCCAAAGTTACGTGATGGAGGCACAGGATGAGGACGGATACTCATTATTTCACTTGTTTATGTCCGACTTCAGTGACCATGTCAAAGAAAACAAAATATACCATCAAATATTGAAAGAAAAAGAAGAATTTATTCAAGCATTACTTCGGGGAGAAATTCTGAAATTTAATTTTTCTGCGCTTTTAAATCAAAAAGAGCGCAATGGGTATTCGGCATTCTACACCTATATTGGAAATTCTACCTGTGCCACAGATACTGTACAATTAATGATCAGTTGCGGAGCTGATGTAAACACTTCTTCTGAAATAGGAACCACACCCCTTATGGAGTCGGTGTTAAGAAGACGGAGGGATATTGTAGAAATTCTTCTAAAGGCAGGAGCAAACCCAAACCAAACAGACATATTCGGCCAAAGTTGCATTTTTCGTGTCTATACTAACGATTGTTTTGACTTGCTGAATCAATATGGCGCCAATTTCAAAATAAAAGATAAATTTGGAAGAAGCCCGATTACAAATGTTGAACTTTACATTTCAGAAGACCTACCTCATTCAAACATTGTCCTCTCGCAAAACTTTTCTAAATATCCACCTTTATATGAGAAGTTTCTAGAAGTTGGAATGAATTCCAACGAAGTTGACAAGCATGGTTCTTCTCTTCTTCACTATGGTGCATGGCATGGAGATTCCAGAATGATCAAAGCTTTAATAGAGCATGGTTCAGATTTGAATATTTTGGATAACAGTGGCAACACACCTTTGGATTTAGCAAAGCATGTGAGAAATGAGAATGTTTATAGCTTATTTGGTGAAACAAATGAGGAGGTTAATCAAAATAACAATGAAACAAAATATTGTAGATTTATCATAAATGAAGCTGAAACAAACAAAATGGAGACTGTGCTGAATGAGTATTTAGGAATCAATGATGATCCCGCTTGCCTGGTGATGTCACTAGTGAAATCTCCGAGGTTAGGAATGACGGAAATAAGACCAGAAGTTAGAGAAATTAAAGCAGAAGTAACATGCCTAATGCAAAGAATAGCAAGTGTTGTTGGAAGATTGAATCCACTTTTTTCCTGTACAGTTTATCCAACAGGTAGTTCGTCAGAGGGTACAAAAGTAGGAGACCCAGACGAATTCGATTTTGTGTTCTGCTTGGAGGAATTTTCAAAATATTGCGTTCCGCATCAAGATGATGATATTTTAAATAGTGGGTTTGTAAGTTTGAAGATTCAGTCAGGAGAAGGTATGGAAAAGTTTGAAGCATTTCTTGATGAATCAACTCTTTCAGCAGAACTTGATCGCGGAACCTTCCAAGATTTGATTACTTCTGCTCTTAACACCCCGGATATTTGGACATCCAAACACTTGTATTTCGATGGTCTTCTTGGGTATCCCATGGATAAACCAGTTTTAAAGTTAGAACTCCATTGGTTTGGTCCCATTATGAAGCACGTAAGAGTCAGTGTAGATATTGTCCCTGCTGTTGAGATAAAGCATTGGAAACCCATTGAATTAACTGACAAAAAGGTTGCGTGTTCTATTGAGGACCAGTATTTGTTACTATTCCATTCACCAGAACGCTGTCAATGGGACGACAAAGACGATGAGCATTTAGTGAGAATTTCTAGCTCTCTGATGGAAAAATGCTTTCTAAAAAGTCTTCCTAAGATCTGTACTGAAAGTTACGCGACAGCGAAAATTCTAAAAAGCATCAATTTTCCCCCTAAGGTTCAGTTCAATGAGGAGGTAGATATGGAAAAGATAACAACATCAGAATTAAGATTGCTGCAGCAGACAGATTCAACTTCGACCAGTGAATTGGAAGGTCAACATAAAAAAGAGAAGGAAAACAATGTGAGCGACAATGATTATGATAATGAAGGTATGCAAAACAAACAACCGTCTAATCAAGTTCTGACAGTTCAAGTTTCACAGGACATTTCGAATGCTGAAGAGCAATCTGTGAGTATTGTGAATAAAGCACAAACCTTTGACAACAACCCTGTCCTACCATGGATGATGGATATTGATGAAACTTATAAGGTACGAAAGATATTTACACCAAAAGAAAACAATAAATCGAAGAAAAAAGTATATTTAGATGAACAAATGGGAATGACCTGTACAACGTCAGTTTTTGAAAAAGACAGACATAAATTGATTTGTTTCAAACCCATGGAATGTGGGCAGGATTCAAATAATCTGAATAATCATGTTATACAATCGGAAGAAAAACAGGTGGGTGGACAGTCAACATACAGTCTCAACACAGAACAAGACCGTGATTTAAAGCTCGACTTAGGTTTTCCTGATAAGAACATCGGCAAAAATATCGATCGTAATGGCAGCACTGAAGACAATACAAATGATAGCATCAAAAGTACAAATGATAATACTGACGAAGAAGACGTAGATAGCGAGGAAGGTTCTGAGGACATGGAAGATGATTCGTCATGTGAAACTGAGTGGGAAGGAGGTGATGTCGCATATGCGTCAGATGAAATTTCGAGCTACATGTTGAAAATGTGTTTATTTCATGTTGTACATGAAGTAAAAAACAAAACCGGTGATATGCCTACTTTTACTCTTTTGGAACTGACCATAAAGATTTACGAGAAGCTGCTGACATTCGCTAAGGAAGGCCGTTTGCCTTCTTTTTTTCTTCCTTTTCTTGACGTTTTCACATACGTTAACACTTATATAAAAGTAATACCAGAAGAAGATTTAGAAACTCTAACTAAGCAACAGTGTTCACGAATTCAAGCCTTCTGTAAGGTTATTCTTGGAATACTTAAGCAAAACCGTGCAGGCGAAGTTACATTGTACCATAGGTAATAGGTGTTGTGTAATATTTTTAAAAAGGACTACGAGCTCCACCTTTATGTATAATTTATATCTTCCGTTGTGTAAACAACCCTTTATGTATGAAAGAGTATGTTTAATGAGAAAGTGTCAATTTCAAATTTAAATTTCATTTTTTCCCCATTTCATTGCACAATGCACATGATTTTCTTTTAAAAAATTCACATTGTGATGTACATCCTGTCAGGAAATAATGGATCATAAATTTTGTGAATCATAAATTGATACAACAAACTCTATTATGACCATTGATCAGTGTACAGTAGACAACAGCGAATGTCGTTACAATTTCTGAAAAAGAACAATTGATATAAAACACGTGCACCTTTCTTAAAATTTACTTGAGTATCAGTGTTCAATAGATGTATAAATACTTTTTAATTTTTTTAAAGTCGTCCAACACAAGATCAATCCTTCTAATTTTTTTTTCAATGAGATGCTAGTATTGCACCAAAAATTTCTTGAAATACAAATGGATTGTGACACACAATTAAAACATTGGATTTTTTTAAATTTAATTTAGTCATGTAAGCACTGTAATAATGTAGCAACTGCTTAAATTATTACTAATTTTCACATTGGAAAAGATTAGATCTGCTTTAGATAAGTTGTTATTTGCTGTTTGTTTAATACATGACCAGTAGATTGGAGAGAAAAATAGACCCACAGTCTCTTTCAGGATTATGAATTAAGAAATTAATATTGAATTATAATTTAAAAATCACGAATTACAAGCAGGAATATTATAATACCGCAAAGCTGTCTGTTCTTTGACATAACTCAGAAAATTAGGTATTTTTTTCTGATAATATGACTCTCTGTCCTCCTTATCTCTTCATTTCTTTTCACTGTTTGTGATTTTCTGTTACACATTTTACATGTACTTCTGAAAAGTTTGTACAATAATATACATTATGCTCTTTTGTACTCAGTGCACCATTAATTTGGTTTAAATGGTTAAACTGAACTGAAATGGATTAAGGAAATCAACTTTGCTGATACATGTATTCAAAAAACACACATAGCCATTCATTCCCATGCTACCTGTAGGTACATGCACATGTACAGTTTTTGGAAATCGCTCTCGAAGCTTATCCGGGAATGGCAAGCCATGTACTCAATAGCAAATATGAACGCAATAAGGTTAACCATTCTTTCTAAAAGTAAACAAATTCTCCTGAAATTTATGCTTTTAAGGACAGATGATACAAACAAAAAAGTGGATGCATAGATAGATATATATTCTTTGGACCTATTTTGGTAGATGATGCAAATATCAAATTTCTAAAATATTAAAGAATCGTTAACTTTCTATGATGTTCAAAATTCTACCTTAATTTCTGAATCACCCCTATAAATCTGTACAACGTTTTATCGATTTATAGGACACTATTGCGAAATTTCGAATGAAAATTGAAAATTTATTCGGTTAAACTGAAACGATATACTTATATAAATATGACTTTAGTTGTTATTTTTATGATTTTTGGAATAGTTTGTATCATCTGTACTTAAATTAAAACTTTTTCTGACCCAGGACCTGTTATCATAGCGGACCTTTTCTCAAAGGGTCGTACCTTTTCTTACAAAAGTCAGACCTTAAAGATTATTACATCTAGGTCTCACTCAACTGTTGATTTTTAGAATGGACAGGTTTTTTTCAAAAAAAAAAAAAAAGAAAGAAAAAGAATGGACAGTTACAACAAAAAGATTCGAGAGTTACAGGTAGAGTTTGGAATGTACCCAAGAGGGAAACAAAATCAAATACAATAAATACGCGTATTTAATTTACATGTAAATAACAAAAAAGAACATGGAGATCTTGGTTAATCCAGAACACAATATTTGCACAGCATCCTTATAATTTCACACTTTTAAATTCATGAATGATACAAACTATTTGAAAACTTAAAACTCAATTTTCACTCATAATTTAAATGATAATCAAAATTTCAGAAACATCATTTCGTCGGGAAAAAAAATCATTTTAAGATGGAAGTACTGCTAATATTAAGTCCAACACGCAGAACACAGTTTGCATCATGAACATCACACTGCTGCAGTTACTATTTCCTTAGAAAATAATTAAAATTGAAACATTTCCAGACTTGATTCGAATTTGGTTATCAGTATTTCTTTGGAAAGGAAATAAGTTTTCAGGTCGAGGTTCGGCTCATCCAACACTCAAAACACAATCTGCACCCCTGTAGTCAATATATGTCCTCAAAAATTGAATTGAAATGAAACATTTCCAAATTTGATCTTTCTTCCTGTTACATGTACATTTGGTGCCATGTCCTGGAAATGACATGCAGAATAGTTACCTTTTGGGTATAGATGCAACGTCAGGAATTGCTACTGAACGTTATAACGTCAAACCGGCGTCGAAATGGTAGTTTTTGACGTGCGATGACTAAGATATGTATTTAGAGAATAATTAATCATATTAAAGAAATGATAATTTGTGGAAAAACCTTGGGTAAATTTTTTTTTTCATTAAAGCAGTTCATCGAGAAGAATTGTTGCTAATTTTCTATCATTGTGTTTTCTATTCCATGTGAAGTCACGCTTTATATGAAAACTCTACCATTGCATAGATTTAAAAAAAATTAACCTCATTTGTATATGATAATTCTTTCATGATTATTTAAAAAAAAAATCGACAGAAAATTAAAGGCGACTTAAGGAAAAAGAGACGTATTGATCGAAATTAAGTTTGAAGGGTACAGAAATACGTAAATAAATTAAAAACGTACAACCCCGCATTGTAAGAACGTCAGATGTCATTTTGGCAAGCTAGAAGACCTTCTGCAAGACATCTTCATTTTTTTGTAATTTTCTTTTCAACTTATAAGATCTGGTGAAACATACACTTACGGAAAGTAATTTTTAAGTAATTTCCACTGATATTAATTTTTCCTTTTGAATTCGGAATAAATTAATAAGCTATTAACTAATACATAATTGACATGACGTTATTTGCGCATTTGACATTTTTGCAGGGCACGGAAGATAAATAGTAAAATAGTAAAATATCCAATTATGAAACAGATGTGTCAGACTCTATGGTATCTTTTATATCAAGCTCACTGGGATATATCGAATGCTATAAAATTATATATCCTGATCCTCCTCTAACTCCTCCTTCCATGTGTACCTACCCTTTGGTGAGCACAGTGCAACAGACGGTCTAGTTAACGTAAGAGTTATATGTATACATTATTTGACTTAACTCTCCCGCTAAAACGATTAAGGAAACGACACTTCACTGTCTTTTTGATTCACATACCTATACTAAAGAAAAGAATTCAAATCCCTTTAGAAAAGCGGGGCAGATGCCAAACAAACATACAACACGAGACGCCTATTCACATGGTGGTACGCAACTACCTAGAAGTATTAACTCATATGGCATGGAGACACGGAATGAGGCCGTGAGTACTCATTATTTGACTTGTTAATGTCTTACTTTAGTGACCATGTCAAAGAAACAAAATAATTCATATCAAGGTTTCCACCTGCAACTACACTTTGAACTTCTTTTCAGACACCGGTGGGTTTAATATCTTATGTGCCCTCTTTCTCAGTTGCCATATTGACTGCATTCATGTTTGCTGATTTGTGCGTTCTATATCTCTTTTCTACGCATTTTTTGGATTTCTTATATAAGGTTATCATAAACTTTCCCATGATAGTAATGATGATAATCAAAATTGGTTTCATTCTGGTTTTAAAGAAAGGTGTATGGTATTTATAATCCATATTATAATATTTTGTCGCACATTTTTCATACATTATTTATTTATGAGTCTGTTCCTCCTTTGACGATTTTTAAAAGAATAGTATACATAAAAAACTTTCTTTTAAGCTCAAGATTAGATTTTTTTTCAAATCTAATTCTTTCCGAGAGTATGGCGTCTACAATGTCATTTGAAAGGATGGCAATCAAAGGCAACCTTTTTTTCCGGTAAACTGCAACACATACCACCTTGTTCAACCTTAACCTTAATTTCTATTTCATTATTCAATACTCCAAAATTATTTAATATTATAGCATGTTAGCCTTGTGGTAGGACGCTCACTCCGTGATTGGGATGTTCCGGTTCTATTCTCGTTGCCGGCGCAGCATCAAACCTAAAATGTTTAAACATTAGATAGTATCTGTTTCTATTTGTATCGTTTCATTAGACTTTCGAGATTGAATACTCTTTGTTATCTTCATATTTCATTTCTTCACCAAGCTCCCGGTATAAGAACTGAAAGACACGGGTTTGTGAGGTACGTATTATCTGAAAATTGTAGGTCCTGTGTCACAGTAGGAGTTGGCATGATAAAGAACTCTCGCTACTCAATGCCACTGGGTGCCAAGTAAAGGTCTAAATTTGAAGCCCTTCATCGGTGTTTGGTCACTTTTCATAAAAGGGAAAAAATCTCACAAGGAACACAAACATTAATCAATCAATCGTCGAGTAGAATAAGGTTTTAACAAAATTCAAGGTTGCTTTTACAGTTCTCTTCATCATAAAATAACCATAATTGAAATATAGTATAACCTCATACATGAATAAATCTTATTCATTGTAAATGAAATATATGGAGATAACGAACAGTAATCGAGCTCAAAAGTCCATTAAACAATACAAAATAGGAGCAGAGCAAACACGGACCTCCAAACATCAGAGGTGGGATCAGGTGCCATGGAGGAGTGAGCATCCCCTGCCGACCGGTCACACCCGCCGTGTGCTCCTTGTCATGATCGGGAAATAACGGAAAAATCCGTCGACAATTCAGTGTGTAAACAATGGCCTAACAATTAGTATGAAAAACGTCAGTAAGCATTTGACTCAATGATAAATTGTATTTGTATTGTATTATAAATTTGTAATTGTATTTTTAAAGCTAATCAATTTACATTTTATTATTAACAGATATCTTCTATCGCATTTCGATGTTTATCCCATCAGAATTATAACTGAAAGACCTCACCGTATTTCCATATGCACCGTACATGATAAAGGTGAAGTGCACTCTAACTGTTCATAGCCGAAGTTGTTATCAAAGGTTGTTTCACTGTATTACAGGTACAATTCACAAATTGGGGAATCATGTCTGCTTTGTCAACTAAACATGAACTTTCTCTTCACTCCGCTGCAGAAGAAAATGACCTGGTTAGACTCGAACAACTCTTACTCGATGGAAATTCCTATACAGTTAATTTACAGGACCAGCACGGTAGGACGGCACTTCACTGTCTCTTAGATCCCCATACCTTTTCTGATTTGGACGAAGTAAAGAGAGGAATTCAAATCCTTTTAGATAGCGGAGCGGATATCAACATACAAAACGAACATGGAGAGACGCCACTTCATACGGTGGTTCAGAACTACTTGGAGTTCATTCCGGAAATTATTCGGTACATATTAACTCACAGCAAAACTTATATCATGGAAACACAGGATGAGGAAGGATTCTCATTATTTCACTTGTTCATGTCTGATTTCAGTGACAATGTCAAAGAAAAGAAGGAATATCAAAAACTTTTGCTGGAAAAGAATGAATTCATTAAAAGTTTACTTTGTGGAGAAATTATGAAATGTAATTGTTCTGCTTTATTGAATCAAAAAGAACGCAAAGGATATTCAGCATTCCTTACTTTTCTGGGGAATTCTGATTGCCCCATAGAAACAGTACAATTAATGATTGATTGTGGGGCTGACGTAAACACTTCAACTGAAATAGGAACGACTCCTCTTATGGAGTCTGTGTTCAGAAGACGGAAGGATATTGTAGAAATTCTGTTGAAGGCAGGAGCAAACCCAAATCAAACAGACATATTCGGTCAAAGTTGTATTTTTCGTGTCTATACTACCGATTGTTTTGAATTGCTGAGTCAATATGGTGCCAATTTCTACATCAAAGATAAATTTGGAAGAACCCCAATAACAAATGTTGCACTTTACACGCCGGAAGATCTTCCTCAATCAAGCATTGTCATTTCACAGAACTTTTCGAAGCATTCACCATTGTTTGAAAAGTTCCTAGATATTGGAGTAAATTGCAACGAAGTTGACAAGCATGGTTCCTCCCTTCTTCATTATGGGGCATGGTATGGAGATTCCACAATGATCAAAGCACTAATACAACATGGCGCAGATTTGAATATCTTGGATTTTAATGGCTACTTACCTTTGGATTTAGCAATGCATGTTGGAAATGATACCATTTACAGCTTACTTGGTGGAACTCATGAAGCAGACACTCGAACTGACAATGAAACTAAGTATTGCAAATTTCTCATTAATGAAACTGAAACAGACAATATGAAGACGGTGCTGAATGAGTATTTAGGAATTAAGGATGACCCTGCTTATCTTTTGATGTCACTTGTGAAGTCTCCGAGGTTAGGAATGACGGAAATAAGAGCCGAACCAAGACATATAAAGTCAGAAGTCACCGGACTGATGCACAGGATAGCAGACGTCATCGGAAGATTGAATCCGCTTTTTACCTGTACAGTCTATCCTACAGGGAGTTCGTCTGAGGGTACAAAGGTCGCAGATCCGGACGAATTCGATTTTGTGTTCTGTTTGAATATCTTTTCAAACCATTGTATACCACATCAGGATGTCAGTTGTATGAACAGTGGGTTTGTAAGTTTAAAAATTAAGTCAAATGAAGTTCGAGGGAAGTTTGAATCCTTTCTTGATGATGAGACTTTCTCAGCAGAACTTATTAGGGGTACATTTCAAGATTTGGTTACTTTTGCCCTTAACAACCCAGACGTATGGACCTCTGAATATTTGTGTTTTGAAGGTCTAGTTGACTATCCTGCGGATAAACCAGTTCTGAAACTAGAAATCGATTGGTACGGTCCCATTATGAAACATATTGTAGTCAGTGTTGATATTGTTCCTGCTGTTCAGATAAAAGATTGGAAACCCGTGGAAATAATTGACAAACAGGCAATATGTTCTGTTACCGAACAATATTTGCTTATTCTGCATTCACCAGAGCGCTGTCCTTGGAGCGGTAAAAAATGTGACCAACTAGTAAGAATTTCCAGCTCTCTTATGGAAAAGCAACTTCTAAGCAGTCTTCCTTATATTTGCACTGAAAGTTATGCAGCAGCCAAAATTTTGAAAAGTTTCAATTTTTGTCCAAAAATTCAGTTTGATGAGGAAATTATCCTAGAAACGGTAGGTTCCATCGGAGTTTTGTTTGATGAACCACAGTCAAGTTTGACTGGAAACTTGGAAGATGAATTGAAGATGGAGGATGAAGGTAACCTGACCAAACGAAAAGAAGGCGATGAAGGCATTATATACGAACAGACGACCAGTCAGATTTTACCCTCTCGAGTCTCCCATGACATTTCAAAATCTGAAGATGTCATGGATAAAACACAAACTTCCGAGCACAGACCTGTTTTGCCCTGGATGATGGATATTGATGAAACTTACAACGTTCGAAAGATATTTACCCCAAAAGAAACTGGAGAAATGAAGAACAAAACATATATAAACGAAAAAATATGGAATGACATATACAACGTCAATTTTTGAAAAGGGCAGACATAAATTAATCTATTTTGAACCCCTTGAATGTGAGCAGAGTTCCAAAAATTTGAATGAAGGTGGTTCAGAATTGGATGACAAAGAGGTGAATGGACAGCCAAAAGGCAGTCTAAACTCAGTAATAGACTCCGAACAAAACTCTGAATTAGATTGTGCTGATAGGAACAACATCACCGAAAATGTCCATAGAAACAGCACTCAGGACAGTGCGAATGATAGCATCAAAAGTACAAATGATAATACCGACGAAGACGTAGGTAGTGAGGAAAATTCTGAGAACTTGGAAGACGATTCGTCAGGTGGTACTGAGTGGGAAGGGAGTGATGTCGTGTCTGCGTTCGATGAAATTTCCAGCTTTATGTTGAAAATGTGTTTGTTTCATGTTGTGCAAGAAGAGAAAACCAAAAACGGTGATGTGCCTACTTTTACTCTTTTGGAACTGACCATAAAGATTTACGAGAAGTTGCTGACATTCGCCAAGGAAGGCCGTTTACCTTCTTATTTTCTTCCTTTTCTGGATGTTTTGACATACGTTAAACTCATATAAAAGTGATACCAGAAAAGGATTTAGAAGCGCTGACTAAGCAACTGTGTGAACGAATTCAAGCTTTCTGTAAGGTTATTTTGGGAATATTGAAGCAAAATCCGTCGGACGATGTTACCTCATTTGAGGACTCATAATAGAATTTGACAATTGTACGAAGACAATGATAAATAATACATGTAAAATTTTGATTGATACTTAAATTACAAATTAACTTAATAGGAATCAATTTGTAGTCTGCTTTCTTGGAATCATATGAGACCCTTTCATAACCAATAACTATTTGTAAATGTATATGATGTGTAAATAATATGCATATAGTGGTTTTGGACGTATTTAAAAGAAATACAATATGCTTTTTTGAAATGTCAAAGTTCGCTGTTATTTACATGTATTCAATGACACTTTTTAAAATTTGGAACTATACTAGATCTTATGTGTAGATTCATTCTAATGTGAGGTCACTTTATTTTCCTTGGTCTGATTGTCGCTATCTACATCTGAATGTTTGGTAGTTGAGTCTTTAATTCGAGATGACATCCAGTGACTGTTGGTTTTACGGTATTTTAGACACTTCCTCTCAGTCAACATATATTTTTACAACAATGAAAAAAAGGGAATTCGAATTTAAAAAAATTACTCTTTTTTTTAAATTGTGACTGGTTATTTGATTATATTGCAAGAACATTTGGTGTAACAAGAAGTGAAAAAATACGAGGAACCAGACTGCCACATTCCTCCTTCCTTAAATGATACCAATCAAGGCTATTCATAGGCAGGTCTTTCAACCTGTCAAATCCTGGTCACGGCACCAAATGTAACAAAAAGGAAGGAAGGCGACGGGCCAGTCCACGGTTAACCCCTCCCCTTTTTGAACTCTAGAGAGGTGCTTTAACAAAATGAACTTCCTGATACATACATGTATGGACCATTGGACTTGCAAATAAGGTCCTGCAGGGGAGCAAAAGAATCTTGGTTAGTGCCTTTGCAGCAAAGACATGGATAGGGTACGTAAGTAATGTGGTGTTCAGACTGGATCGATTGTCGGTGGCCAAGTAGCTCAAATGGTTGAGCACCTGTCTAGAGTTGATGAGGCTTGGTTTCGAATCCTGGACTTGTCCTTTGCATTTTCTCCCTCCCTGTTACAATTGTATATATTAAAACAAAGTAAATCAAAGTACAGAATGTACTCCTGAAAGAGTAAATTTTCGTTCATTTGAAGAAAAAATCAATCATCAAAATAATGTCAATGTTTTGTTTTGTTTTGTTAACAAGAATTATATAGTAACATTAAATGTTATTAAATATAATGTGACAATGTAGTGCAAACAATGCTATGTAAGTGCTTTATTCATGTATTACATCTACCTTGCCCCGCGTGGCGCAGTGGATAGAGCGTTTGCTCTAGAGTCGCGGCGTAAGGATCGAGTTGATCCTTACGTCGCGGGTTCGAATCCCACTGTGGGACGTGGAGACCGGTCCTTCGGATGAGACCGTATAAACCGAGGTTCCGTGTCGCCGTAGGTGCTGGCACGGCACGAAAAAGATCCCTCACTCAATGGCCCTGAGTGCCGAGTATAAGTCAAAATTTACAGCTCTCCAAGCAAGAGTTGGCGTATCCATATGAGTAAAAAATTCTCGAGAAGGACGTTAAACAGTTAAACAATAAACAAACAACAAACAAACAAAAACCTTGTACATTGATACATCCCCCCCCCCCCAATACATACACATAAAAATTCAGTATGTGTTGCAGCATGTTATGTAGTCATTTATACACTTCAATCCCTATTATCAGCAAATGAATTCGTCAATGAAATGTATGGAGATAATTAACGAACAGTATTCAAGCTCAAAAGTCCATTAAACAAAACAAATTTTGGAGCAATCCAGTTCCTAGCGTGGTATTAATAAGTCAAAATAATGATCAAAGTTCAAAATGCCTGTTAACATGAAAAGCTGAAAAAGCTTTAAAGTTTACTTTGAAAACATTTATTTACAATATACATTTTAAAATATATTTTCTGCAAAATGTTTAATAAAAATGAGATATCATGTGGTGTGATTAACAAGTGACTTCAATGTCAAGAATGAGTGCCTGCAATCTGTAGAAGGTTTTGATTCTAGAAAGAGGTGGGTATTAGTAAGATGTGTAGAAATATGTTTACTTAGAACTGTGAATTTTAAGATGTCTTTCCCCTGAAAATGGGTATATATCCCTTTCACAACTTGTAACAGGGTATATTTAAGGAATCACTGTCTAGTTAGTAGAGTATACCAGGGCATCAACGATAGTTGGAAACGTGGGATAATTTGCATAACGGGCGAAGCCCGTTATGCATAAATTATCCCACGTTTCCAACTATCGTTGATGTGCCTGGCATACTTTACTAACTAGACAGTGATTCCTTAGATTTCCATTTCATTGTGAAATAAAATTGTAAATTTAGATTTTAAAGATTTAAATTACACGAGGCCTCACATATCAATTTCAATAGTCCCCGCCCACTGACGTCAAACACAAAGACAGCCGCACGAGATTTACATGCATATTAGGCCTCCTTAGAGTCAGTCGAAAAGAAAGCCGCACGAGAATTACATGCATATTAGGCCTTCTTATAGCTCCTGACCTTTCGCTTGGCGAAATTTGCATTCGAGTGGAATGATCAAGAAATCAACTCTCCTAACTTTCAAAGAGTTATCACAGAGAAAACAAATCGAAATGGAAATATATCCCTTTCACAACTTGTAACAGGGTATATATCCCTTTCACAACTTGTAACAGGGTATATATCCCTTTCACAACTTGTAACATTAATTAATTGCAAATATTATTTTTTTTTAGTAAATGTAATATTCTTAGGTATTATAAGATATATTGATATTTATGTCTATAGTATCATTGTTACAACGCAAAATGTAAAAAAAAAAAAAAAAAAAAAAACCTGAAATTATAACGTTTTGGATTATTACATTTTGCGTCGAGGTCAAGGCAGAATGTAATATGCAAAATGTAAAACCACACATTTTGGATTATTACATTTTGCGTTATTACATGTTGCGTATAGGTTAACGCAAAGTCTAATAATCCTCTATGGATCTAATATTAAAATCTAGATATCGTTGAATACAACTGTGAAAATCACTCATTTTCGCGAGGTTTAATTTTCGATATAATCATGGTATGAAGAGTCCTATGAATGCATGTCCTTCGCGAAATGTAAAATTTCAATTGTATAACAACTGAACACTCTGTCAACCACGAAATCAAATTCCCACCAACAGAAATTTTTTCCTCAAAGCACGAATATTTGACCCCAGGAAAATATGTGATTTTAGAGTATTTTGAATCACATTTCCTGAAGTATCAAAAATCTAACATTTCTATATGGTATCAAAAATATAAATACATGTATTTTCCCAATTTGCGTTCCTAATATTCTGTGTCGAAATTTGCACAAATTTTATAAACGCCAATTGAAATAATTTACTTGTGTTACTAGTGGTAAAAACTTATCCTCCTAAATTCAAGGAGAAATAATTTCCCGAGGAGCAGCAAGTTAAAAAGTTACAACATAACAGAAATGTTTTAACATATAAGTTTTAGATAAAATTACATCCTATTCGATTTACTGAGAATATAAAAATATTTTGAGTCATAAGAACATTGATTAAAAACAAGAAAACTTCCAAATGTTAAAAAATGTTTATTATTAATCAATATAAAGATTTCCCACTTTCAATGATTTAGATGTGGAGATGATAAGCGATAATTACAACCTGCGATATTACATTCTGCGTTAACTTCCAAAAAGTAATGACACAAGATGTAATAAACCAAAAAGTGTGTTTTTACATTTTGCTTTTTTACATTCTGCGTCGAGATCAAAACAAAATGTACGAGCTAATGTAAAATGTAATAACTTTTAAAATATGTTATTACATTTTACGTTATTACATTATACGTTGACCTCAACTCCAATTGTAGTAACGCAACATATAATAATTCAAAAAGTGTGCTATTACATTTCGCGTTATTACATTCTGCGTTGATCTGGACGCAAAATGTAATAATCTCAGTTTATTACACTTTGCGTATTTATTACATTTTGCGTTGAAACATATACCGTGTATTAATTATTCCTATATGCAAACACATGTTATTGTACTTCAAAAACCAACATATGATTATGTGGCTGAGTAATATATTTGCGCCAAGTCAATCTGCATTTCATTGGTGACAAAGCATTTTGATGAAATAATAGTAAGAGCTGGATAATATTAACATGATTTAGATTAAGGCGAGCGTTGATGAGAGGGGCATTTTGTTTTTAGTATCGGGTTTGTTGTTTTCATATTTGTTGAATTGCGATCCCGACGTTACGCAAAATGTCAACAAAAAGTTTGTCAAAGTTACTTGGAAGGAATCTTGTGGCAATAAGTCGTCATGGAAGTCGACTGAGTTCAACTCAAGTTCAGAAAAAGAATCAGAATGATGCTTCAAGTGGAATATTCTCACAAGAACACCAACAGCTGCGGGATTCGTTGAGAAAAGTAAGAAATGTTGCTTCTGAACTTTGATCTGTAAACGTCTTTAATAGTTTAAGGTTTATGTAAACGACATGTTTTTAGATACATGAGTTAAACTAAACATGTGATGATGTTTCGTGATATTGGCGTAAATTTATCTCAATTTACTTCGTGTTCACTGCAATACAAACAAAAAAGGTGAACTTACACAATCTCAATATAGACAGTTAAAGAAGATTTATGTCATACACATAACAACTTTAATCTTATAGATACAAGTATACCAGGGCTCAAAATGTTATTTTTTTACTGGTCATTGAGAACTTTCACTTTCCCATTTGGCTAGTTAGGATTTTTATTGATAAACCAAGACTTTAAAAATCAGATTTCTTTGCCATTGTTTCGAATTATAGCTAGAGCATCTGTAGTTGTGCTGCTTTCAGATTATGCATTAGTCCAGTTAGTCTTTGTCTGATCCTTCATGTTTACTGTACATGTTCTTTCATTATCATCTCTACTTTTTATACTTGTTGCACTAGCTGTGGTGCCTCAGCCAGCTGTCAGCATTAAGAAAACTTTATGATGGTTCAGTTACTTAGGCTAATACAAGATAACAAAACAAATGAAGAAGTTATTTATTGCTTTGGTGGCATTTCGACACACAAATCTGCATAATTAACTAGTCCAACAATAAAGGATCAAATTTTGATATGCATAGAAAAAAAAAAATTACTGGTCTGGAGAGCACATGCTCTCTACAAGCACTGTAGCCCAAATTCAAGATATACTGGCCAGAGATCATTGGGTCATCAATCATTTTGATCCCTATTTAATGTGGACTTAATTTGGCATATCAATTAGATGATTGATTATCACACTTTGCCTAGGTTCCCAAAAAATAGTTTTTGCTGAGATATGTATAATCTGTATCAAAATTTAAAATCTAGTAAAACCTAGAGCTCATAGTATGTTCAGATCGAGAGCTCAATAGGTAACAATCTAAGTGGCTAGCTAGCACTGTGATCTTGAACATATGGCCCTGCATACAGATTAAAAGATGTGCTTCTGTTTTTGTTTTTGTTTTTTTTAAATATTTGCAAGTAACAATATTTTTCATTATGGATAACATTTAAGATATCAAAGACAAGACTGTTTACATTGTGGTTTAGTTACAGTAGGATTGTGTCTTCAACAAAATTTTTTTTTCTCAATTTTACACAAATGACTCGATATTTGCATATCCAATGTTACATCTATGTTGATTTACCAGTAGACATTTTTCATCAAATATCCAAATCAAAGAATTGCACTAATGACGCCATCCCCATTTACATAGACTGTTAACTGTTACAGAAGTTGTGAAGAGATCAGCTTTTGGAGAAATATTTAAGAGTAATTGATGATGCATACTATTTTTCCTTCTCAAATTGTTTAAAAAACATTTGTAGATTATAGACAAAGAGATAAATCCACATGTTGATCAGTGGGAACAAGAAGGACAGTTTCCTGCCAAGAAAGTCTTCAAAACTCTGGGGAATGCAGGTCTTCTTGGAGTCACAAAACCCACAGGTATGAAGTCCTTAAAGTGACATGGCTTTTTTTCAGGAAGGGAATGTTTGTAACAGGAAGGAAGAAACTTCAATGGACCAGTTAAGGACTTGTAGCAGGGGCCACTGTTCTCTGGACAGATACTGTACTACTGAGCTTGAGGTCTGATCCGGTCAATTGCATCTTCTTCCAGTTACATTTGGTGCCATGCCATACTCTGGAAATGACAGGCAAAAACTTGCAAGGGTTAAGACTGGGTTGTTGTTTTAAGAGGAAAGGACAATTACGGACAGAAAAATGTGATGGTCAGGTAGGTTTATTTGCTGGTAGCCAGTTATTTGAGCTGATGGAGCGAGGGATTGCAGTAGCCTAGTAGTATGGCATTCACTTCATCACCAGGAGGTCCCAGGTTTGATTCTTGTTCTTGGCACCGTGTCAAATCTAAGGCATATAATAAGTAGTGACCGTTACTTCGCCAAGTACCCGGCACTAGAAGTGAAAGTCACAGGTCTTTCAGATAAGACCTTGAAAACTGAGACCTTCCCATTTCACGGAAGGCGCTGGCACGAAAAAAATTCCTTCACTGCTATGGCCATAAGCACCATGCATATAGATCAAAACTTGTAACACTTCACCTAAAGCAGATGACATCTCTATATGAGTGAAAAATTTTTGAATGGGATTTTAAACAACATATAATCAATCAGTCAGTCAGCTGATTGAGTACCAGTAAAGGGTCCAGTCTGGTCTGCTCCAACACATTTTTGTGTCTCCTGCAGCAGAGAGACGCTTAGGGATCACTTTACCTGACATCTGTCTTTTCATCTGTCTGTCTGTCTGTCCATCTGCCACACCTTTTATCATGAGAACTGTAAGAATTATGGATTTGATATTTCGGTCATGTATTTCACAAATTACCACTCTTGAAATGATGTTACAGCAGATCTTTCATCTTTACAGAATATGGTGGGTTGGGATTGGATTACACCTACAGTATTGCTATAGCAGAAGAACTTGGTAATATAAACTGTGGAGGTGTTCCCATGGCAATAGGAGTTCAAACAGACATGTCAACACCTGCACTGGCCAAGTATTTCATGAAAAGTTTCAGAGTTCTTTCTTGTTCTGCAAAAGTGGTTTCACAAATATGATTACATGGACTTGTATACCTACACATAACTGTACATGTGTCTCTTTATGTCTATCCATAACTGTTTTACTTTCATTTTGTTTTGTCAGGTTTGGCAGTGATAAGATGAAGAGAGAGTTCCTGGCACCCTCCATAACTGGGGATGTTGTGTCCTGTATTGGGGTCAGTGAGGTCGGGGGAGGATCTGATGTGGCCAGTATGTGATATTGAGCAGTACATATCTAGTTACTAATAATCATGTGTTTGATGTATAAACCATGTAACACTTATAAGGTATTGATACTTTTTGGGGAAAATGAAGGCATTCATTTATTGTTACATGTAGTTTGATGTAAAACTATTAAAATTACTCTATCGGGGGTTTACCATAGAAAGCTCTAAATATTAAATATTATTCAATGCAAAAAATGAACTTTCTTTCTTGCTTCAGGTGTAAAAACAACAGCAGTGAAGAGTGGTGGAGATTACATCATCAATGGTGGAAAAATGTGGATAACCAATGGAGCACAGGCAGACTGGATGTGTCTCCTAGCTAACACCAGCGAGGGACCAGCACACAGGAATAAATCCCTTATCTGTCTTCCCATGAACTTACCAGGTATATACTTAAGTTTAAAATGTGTTTGATACTAAATTTATTGAAGAATCTTTAAATAAACATAGGCGGGTTAAAGTTGTAAACCCTGGGAGTATCAAGTCTTTCTGATTTTCAGAACTTCTTAATTTTTTTAATTACATCAAATTGTTGATTGAATTTTCCAATTATTTTTTAATGATGTTTTCCAAAATAGGCTGATAAATTCCTGTGATGTTCCAAAAGGTGGTTATGTGCATAAATTTTTACATTTTTAGGAATAACAGTTGCCAAGAAGATAGACAAAATGGGCATGAGGTGTTCTGACACTGCTCAGATTTATTTTGAAGACGTCAGGGTCCCTCAGGATCATGTGATTGGGGAGGAGGGGAAAGGGTTTACCTATCAAATGATACAGTTCCAGGAGGAAAGGTTGTATGGTGCAGCTGCTGGTAAGTATTCATCCTCAACAAAAAGTTTTTGCACCCCCTTTCCCTCCCTCCTGCCCCCCCCCCCCCCCCCGCCCCCCCCCCCCCCCCCCCCCATTAAAGGTGCTTAGACACAGATTTGAACTTAATATTTCCTCAAATTTTCTGTATAATATCACGACTTATATATTGCAATAGCATTTCACACGAAAATATAATTAAAAACTTATTTTATCTGGAAATTATTGGAACTACGAATTCCGGGATACGTTTGATTAACACATCTTTGCACTTACACAAATTTTAACACTATCCTTAATATTTAAGAAAAGAAGCAATTTTGTTATGCATTAATGAAAAGTGTTACATCTATAATCCAGAAAATTTGGAGTAGAAATGTTCGAAAGCAAAACCAATTCACCAGTATTGTCAGTCCATGCTCTGTGATGTGTACAGACTTTAAGAAATTGAACACACCCGTGAAACGTAAACTGTTTTTGTAAACAGTGCAAGAGCTCTGTTAATGTTTATGATTCACCGGGTGTGTTCAATTGTTAAACTCTGCACACACCACTGAGCACGTACTTACAATACTGTGAGTGGGTTTTGCTTTCGAACATTTCCACTCTGAATTTTCTGGGTTACAGTTTTAATATTTTTCATTAATACACAACAAAACTGCCACTTTTCTTAAGTATTAAGAATAAAATTAAATATGTGAAAGCGCAAGGATGTGTCAATCCAACGCGTCCAGAAATTCGAAGTTTTAATAACTTCGAGATGAAATAAGATTTTTGTTATATTTTAGTGTGAAATGCTATAGCCATATATAAGGCATGAAATTATACAGAAAATTTGAGAAATTATTAACTTCAAATCTGTGTCCAAGCACCTTTAAAAGGGGGGTCAACATATTTATAAGCAAAAAAGCTTAAAGAAAAGATAGAACTGGAGTGAGTGAAATATGAAAAATACAGCTGCCACTGCAAGTGGTTGCTAAGAAAATCATGTCTGCCCTATTTATCATTCATTTATTGAAAAGCATATACTCATAGATATCAGTGACACTCAAAATAAATTTTAATATGATTGGATTAAATGTGATGTTGAAATTGTAATTAAATATTTCTTAGCTGGTCTGGTAAAGTTTCAAGAGAGATTTAATATTTCCAAACTGTATTGCATTTTATGTATATTTTAATAATGCTATATTATTTTATTCTATAGCTGTGCAACCCCTTGAGAATTTAATAAATTCCACAGCAGAGTACTGCAGACAGAGGAAGGCCTTTGGTACATCCATCTTAAACAACCAGACGGTACATTTCAGGCTAGCTGAACTGGCCACAGAGGTGGAGAGTCTCAGGTCATTAGTCTACAGGGCAACTGGTATGATTATATTATATAAATCACTCATGCATTTCCACAAAAGATATAGTTCCAGCATTTGTAATAATCTAAATGTTCACTGCGAACAGGTGTACCTGTGAAAATTCATCCCAGTACAGATTTTAGTTTAAGTTTTCATTCCCTGTAAAAGATAATCTTTTATTAATACCTTTCTTGTTGTTTGACTCCTGAACCTACTTGTATATTTATAAGCTAGTCAACTTCCACTTAATAAGTCATTGTGTATTGAAGACATACATAAACTATACATATAGACCAGTACCAGTATATAAATTGTCCAAGAATAAGTTGTTAGTATTTTGATTGTTAACAATGTTTGAAAAAGTTAAATTAAGATTAAGAGTTCAATCCATGGAACACTGTATCGCACTTGTATAATATTTACAGTTTCATTTTTTCCTTAAGATTCTTTCCTTAGAAAGCAGTTCATTTTCTCTTGAACTACCATGGATGAGCAAGAATATCTCCATTGTGCCTCTGTGATACCGTATTTGACATCAGAACTATAGTGCAAACTGTTTCGTTTCAAAAATGATAGTTAAATGGCATAAATTTGTGGCAAGTCATCAGATAAATAATGTAAATATGAGATATGAATTTAATTTTTGAGAATTCATGAGGACCTGAACTATGATGCTTCACACCGATGCGTTATGTACCTCATTTCTCAAAGGGATGAAACTGTTCATGAAATATTTTTATAATGACTATTTCTACTTTGCAGAAGAGTATGTTAATGGACAGGATGTGACCAAGCTAGCCTCCATGTGTAAACTTAAGGGGGGTCGACTGGCAAGGGAGGTAACCGACTCCTGTCTTCAGTTCTGGGGAGGAATGGGCTTCACAAATGAGGTCCTTATTAGCAGGTTTTACAGGTTAGGAAACTATCAGGCAATTTTTTTTCTGTATATACATGCATTTCCTAAAGCCTATAAAAGTCAGCTCCCTTGTCCCTTTATAAAGATATTTTAAACAAAATACAGTCAAACCTCATTATCTCGAACTCGATGGGACTGAGAAAAAACTTTGAGATATCCGAGGGTTCAAGATATCAAGGGTAAATACTTGGTGAGGACTTCTCAATCACTTCGACATATCCATGGTATTCAAGATATCCGTGTTTGAGATACCAAAGTTCAACTGTATGTATTCTGTTCCAAAGTACCAATGTCATCATTTTTAGCTCACCTGAGCTGAAAGCTCAAGTGAGCTTTTCTGATCACCCATTGTCCGTCGTCCATCTGTCCGTCCGTCTGTCTGTCCGTCCGTCTGTAAACTTTTCTCATTTTCGATTTCTTCTCAAGAACCACTGGGCCAATTTTAACCAAACTTGGTACTAAGCATCCTTGAGTGAAGGGAAGTTTAAATTGTTAAAATGAAGGGCCCCTTCAAGGGGAGATAATCAAGAAAATACAAAAATTGGGTGGGTCATTAAAAAATCCTCTTCTCAAGAACCACTGGCCCAGAAAAGCTGAAACTTACGTGGAAGCATCCTGGTGTAGTGCAGATTCTAAATTGTTCAAATCATGACCCCTGGGGGGGGGGGGGGCACAATAGGGAATCGAAGTTTTACATTGAAATATGTAGTAAAAATCTTTAAAAATCTTCTTCTCAAGAACCATTGGGCCAGAAAGGCCGAAATTTATTTGGAAGCATCCTTGGGTAGTGTAGATTTTAAATTGTTCAAATCATGACCCCCAGGGTAGGGCGGGGCCACAATAGGGAATCCAAGTTTTACATTGAAATATGTAGTAAAAATCTTTAAAAATCTTCTTCTCAAGAACCATTGGGCCAGAAAGGCCGAAATTTATTTGGAAGCATCCTTGGGTAGTGTAGATTTTAAATTGTTCAAATCATGACCCCCAGGGTAGGGCGGGGCCACAATAGGGAATCCAAGTTTTACATTGAAATATGTAGTAAAAATCTTAAAAAATCTTCTTCTCAAGAACCACTGGGCCAGAAGAGCTGAAACTTATTTGGAAGCATCCTTGGGTAGTATAGATTTTAAATTGTTCAAATCATGACCCCCGGGGGTAGGGCGGGGCCACAATAGGGAATCCAAGTTTTACATTGAAATGTGTAGTAAAAATCTTTAAAAATCTTCTTCTCAAGAACCACTGGGCCAGAAAAGCTGAAACTAATGTGGAAGCATTCTGGGGTAGTGTAGATTTTTAATTATTCAAATCATGACCCCCGGGGGGTAGGGCGGGGCCACAATAGGGAATCCATGTTTTACATTGAAATATGCAGAAAAAATCTTTAAAAATCTTCTTCTCAAGAACCATTGGGCCAGAAAGGCTGAAACTTATGTGGAAGCATCCTGGGGTACCTAGTGTAGATTCTAATTATTCAAATCATGACCCCTGGGGTAGGGCGGGGCCACAATAAGCACTACAAGGGGGGGGGGGAGAGAGAAATCATATGAAAAACAGCAAGGCCAAAGTTACTCAGGTGAGCGCTGTGGCCCATGGGCCTCTTGTTTGCATTATAAATGTATCTCAAAATACTTAAATATTTTGGCATGCAAACTAGGTTCAATGAGTGATGAAAAGATCATTTTCCCCCAAAAAATTTCTGCTTTGAAAGGTTCCTTGGGATTCAGCTAGTGTATTGACACAGCATCAGATTCAAATTCGGTGGGACATTAACATTGTGAAAATGGTTGCCACTTCAGAAAGGGATTTACCATTATCAGAGATTTTCCATTGATAACATATAAGATGTAGCACATGTTCAAAATAAATTTAGATGCAACACTCAGATAATCTCTGGCTTATCTCTGGAAATAATGACAACTCTCCTGTGTGCTAATGACAGCAGTGGCCAAAAATTAATGTTGTAAATTTCCATAGAAAATTGTGTGATGCATGTACACTGTACTTGTTTGTTTCAAATTGTATGTGTCCAATATGATCACTAAACAGGATTTGGAAATTATGAAACTTTAATGTTTAATGCACAGGAACCAGACATTACATATTTTTTCTAATCTAAACAAAAATTAACCCCATATCTCATTTATAAGGTATGGTAATATATTATAAGGTATTTTGTTTTAAATAAGAAAAATATTTAATGTGAAGTGCCTTTGATTGGTTTAATGATACTTTTTTTTCAAAGCAATTGAAATATTTTTTTGATGACTTACACACATGTATAGAATGACTTACACACATGTATAGAATAAGATGTTTGCTCATTAAATTATGTCTGCATGAACATTAAATTTTTTATCAATCCTGGAAAATTAGCCCTAATGAATTAAAATGTTTTCCATGAAAAATGATTCCACAGAATATGCTTTACTCTTTTTCTGTCATTTGTCCTTTAGAGATTTCCGGCTGTTGTCCATTGGAGGCGGAGCTGATGAGGTCATGCTGTCAATCATATGTAAATATATGAACACTCTGCCACTACCATCAGGCAAACAGAAGTGAAAATGACAGAATCATGCTCAAGTCTGATATCAGAAATGAAAAGATAAAAAAATAATTGGCATGTTCATACTCAGAATTCTTATACACATTTAACTATACATGTATTGCCTGTTTCTTTTTTTTTTCTTGTTTTGTTTTTTTGCAAAAGAGAGTTTGTCATACATTATGATATAATACTGATATGTTATGGGCTTTTTTTCCCAACGTTATGTTTATTTCCAAGAATTCTTTCATTGGCATGTATTTTTCTCAGTTTTCTTAGATCATTGTTTTTATTCATTTCCCAGTGATGATTTATTATTCATTATAATTAGCATTGGGCCTTTATTTCTTATAAATAAATTCTATAGAAGCACAGATTTTCCTGGGGATAAAATTTTGTTGATTTGTCATCTAAAATGGTTTTGTGGGCATATAATTTCATTGTTTAGAAAGTAACCTTGTTTAATATATAGTCATATAAAAATTTTGTGGGGGATTTAATTTCGTTTAGAATTGTTAACAAAAGAAAATAAACAAAATTAATCCCCAATGAATATTTCTGCTTTTACAGTAATATTAAATACACAAATGTGAATTAGTTTTAATAGAAGAATAAGGATTAATTAAGCTGTTTTCTATATTGCGCATACATGCTACCTGATTTTTCACTCAAGAATTAATCATTGTTAGTGTTAAATGTGATATTTTTATAATTCCACCTTTTTTTGGGTTAATTGAATATAAATTAAATATTGATTTATAACAAGAGACTTTTAATTCTTATTTTAAAATTATGAATTTGTATTATTGCATAGTATGTCAACAAATTGGTAAAAGTTTAAGCAAAAAATAGATATCTAGTCTGTTTTACAAACAAAACAAGCACTCTGAGAGTATTGCATTAGCAATACTAGTCCCCTTCCGGCAAGTGTAATCTGGTTCCCGTTAAAAATTGAAAATGCCATAATTATGTCAAAAATCAATGAAGCGGAACGAAATGCAAACTTGATCTATAACTCATCAAGGTTGAGTCACATACCAAAAATCAGCTCAATATCTGCAAGCGTTTAGGGGAAAAAATGCGGAAAACGCTGAAAAATTGAAAAGGTTATTCCGTCAAAAACCATTGAAGCGGAACGAAATGCAAACGATCTGTAACTCATCAAGATACACTCACATACCAAAAATCAGCTCAATATCTGCAAGCGTTTAGAAAAAAAGTGCGGAAAACCAAGTGGGACAGACAGACAGAGGGACAGCTAGACGGACGGACAGACTCAGAGGAAACCTGTAGTCCAATCCGATTTCACCGGTAGGGGACTATAATTAGTCTGAACTGTAAAGATATCCACAGAGGTCCAACAGCTTTGCGATATACCTCTTTGCATTTTTATTTTTTCTGACAAAAAAAATTATAAAGGGGTACATCGCGCCCCCCTTTCCCCATGTTTTACGTAGACGATAACGCTTTTGTTAAGTTACGGCTGCCAAATTAAACACTCTGTCAAAATAACCCCCAGACAATACATGATGGAGTAATGTATAAGAAGGCGATTATGTAGCCAGTAGTCTTGTAAGAAGGACATTCTTTAATTTTAGGCTTCTGAATACTTGACACACTATAAAAAAAATACATGTATCTGATGAAAAAGAGAAGGAAGATTTCGTAACATTAATTTTTTCATGAAAAATTAAAAGTATACATGTACGTTTTATGTTTTGTTAAAATTCTGTCTGCTGCAGCAAAGAGGTTATAACAAAGGAGTTTAGCATTGTGCTTGTTGGATAGTAAAATGCCCGATAATATAGTCACTTCCCATTTTCAAATTTTATTTTAAATAAAAGTTAGTATCATAGAATATCATTTCATTTTCCCATTAAAGTTTGTGGGAAGTCCAGTTGAACCAAAAACAAAACAAAAAAAACTACGCTTTAGTTTATTGAATTTTGCTAAAAATTATCTGTTTTGTATTCTACTCGCATATGGGGGCAATCTACATGTAGGAGAGGGAAAACAACATATTTGCACAGTCCTCTTTTATATTAGCTGCAATGATGTAGCCCTCTCCTAATATTTTTGTTTGACGTTTTTGGGAGAACCCCCCCCCCTCCTAAAAAAAGATGGAGAGAACAGGACAGGACTAGATATATTCTTGCAGCTACATTTATAATTTATATTTTCATTTACAATATAGATAAACCTCATTTTTCCATATTCCACATTTACAAGTCTTTTCTACACTTTTGTTTCACATCTTTCCTCACAGTTGTCTTGTTTATGCATGGGTTCGCATGAAGTTTCACGTACTTCTGCACAAGAATGTGACGTGTCATGAACTTCTGCATAACGTTCTCCTGACGTTTCATGCACTCCCACACAGGGTTCCTGCGACAAAAGTGTACTTCTGGTATGTCTAGAACTGATCTCCGCAGTTTTATACTTCTTGCATTTAAAACAGTTAACAAATAAGAGTACTCGTCGGCAATTTGGTGTAAATATAAAGTAGATAAAGGGATTGATAGTAAAATTCAGATGAAGTAGAGTAAACGCTATTCGATATATCACGATATATAGCATCGATATTTCTATTTCCCGGGCCAGTTTGATCGTATCGTGTATATTTATTGGTAACGTTGTTACTAGATACGACAAAACCACAGCTGAAACGATTTTGGACATTTTCTTGCGTGTAGCCTGTCTGTCATTTGTAATGGATTCTTTCAGAGCTCGCAGCTTTAAGAAATGGCAAACTAAAATAACAAGAATCGGCACAAACGTCACGATTATCGTGATACAGAAATTCACCGTTTTCCTCAGCGAAGGATTTTTACTTATTTTAACAGCATAAATGTAGAAAGATGCAGGAATAGTACATAAAATCCATATAGAGAGAGATACACGAAAGACTGTCTTATTGGTTTGTCTTGCCAGGCTTGACAGAGGGTGGGCGATCATGAAGTACTGCTGTATGGACAGGAACGTCACGTGGGATGCTGACGAAAGAGCACTCGTAATGGCCATAATACTTAGTATAATAGCAACTATATCACTTTCGGTTCCAGAAGGAATGAACCACCCAAGATGCACTAGAAATGTATTGAAAACCAAGTACAGCAAATCGGCCAATGCCAAAGCCGCAAATCCGAAGAAAATCGGTCTGTGGAGACGTTTGACGCGGAAAATAATTCCAAGCACCCCAGAATTAGCCAGTATTCCAATTAAGGATACACACGTGGCAATAACAATAACGGGTGAACACAAAAGAGCTTTAGAACACACATCTTCCTCCTCGTAAAGAGAGGAATTATTTGACATGATTCGGGCTTCTCGTCTTCTACTGAAATAGTTTCATCTGTTAATGTTGTCATCCACTGATTAATTTTGGAAACAGGTTGTCTATTTTTGCCTTAGGATAGTTGGTATTGATAGTACACATAATACTTCATTTGTCTCACCTGCTCGTTAATGATACAGATTGAATCAATGATGAAATATACGTGTATTAATTTACCTGAGCAGTATATAATGAATTTTTAGAATTTTATTTTTTGAATGTCTCATCGTCGGTAACCTGCTGGTTTTCATTTCTTTCAAAAAAGTGTAAATGAATGTCTATTGAATGAAAATCCTCTGAGTTGCCGACGATGAAACATTCAGAAATCGGGGGGGGGGGGGGGGATAAATTCAAACTACATGTACCTTACCTTGATGATATACATATATATTAATTATGCATTTCATACTGTCATCATTAACAATTACAAAATAATTTTGTTTGATACTGGAGCACCAGAAATTTCTCTTCAAGCGATTTTTCCTCTCCTAAATATGGCCCTTGCCAAAATGTGCAAAAATGTTACTCTTGATAGATGTCATTGTTTTTCTCAAAATGCCAATTTAAATTAACCCGTTTGGTTATCATTTATCATTTTGTACTTTCTATTTATATATACCAACCTTTTCGGTGCGAGGAGGGGGAATACAGAAGGCCATAAACTGACACGATAAAAACAGAGAGAGATAGAGAGGACATCGTTAATAGAATAGTCTTAATCATAATCACAAGGAAGAAACAAGAGCGGATCTGGGGTATTTTCCTAGAGGGGAAGAGGGAGTGATGGTGTCACTACTAGCTTTTTTTTCAAAATCAAACTATAAAAATTCTTTGACACCCCCACCCCCTCCTAGTTAGAATAATCTAACTGTGTCTCGGGACAAGCCCTCACCTTAAACCGGGTCCGTAGGACAATATCATTTTAACTATAGAACGTTCTATCTATACCCCCTCCCCGAAACTGTTTCCTGGAGGGGAGATGGATACAGTCATATCCCATGAACAAGCTACTTCCTTTCATTTATATAATTCTTCCTATATATCAACTATATATAACGATTGAGGAATCGTGTTTCCTCCGGGGGGGGGGGGGGCTCCAAAGTAATTTATAAGATTATTTTTACTATATAAATAAAAATAAAAAATAAAATAGAGGTTTATATGCATGTTTTTATAATGTCAATAAATGTACATATCTATGGCAATGTAGAATAACCAGGCAAGCTAAAAATTTATCACTCGTATGGAGCGTAGATTGCCGATTGAAAAATTCATGATATGATCGGGATCGGGAATCAGGAAATCTATATAACCTTTGACCTTAGTGGCGTTATCGTTGATAACCAACCAACGTGCCAAAGATGTCAAAAACTGGTGAAAGTGGTCCAAAGAAAGGAAATGAACCAAAGAGCAATAGAACACTCGACATAGAGGGTCGAAATGTGAACGGAAGGGTGCCGATGAAGGCGGAAACGCCCACTATACCGAAGCGCCGGTAAGTGCGAGTCCTTGCTTACGAAATCTTTTCATATCCTGCCCAAATCTACAGGGGCTCTTGTTGTAACGCTATCTTCTTTGGTGACGTACATTAACTAGACTATCATGGGTATACATCTGCCTATAAACTCGATCGGAGTTATTGTTATAAATGCATCTGTTTACTCTCATGCATTATACAGTTATAATTCGTTCTAGTCTTAAATATGAAGGTGTAAATTAAAAAAAAAAAAAAGAAAAGAAAAAAAAATCCCTATATGATAAACCAGGTTATGCAGATCTTTAGAATTTTAATAGCAATAACAGAGGCTTAAAAGGGTGTGATTTTTACGTGATCTTGACATTGGATCTCGAACAAAAGGCCATTTTATATATGTCATTTGTGGCCCTGTTGGTTAAAATATCCAGAACTGCTTCATGGACAATGTTCATTATGTTACTACCATATTTTATATAATAGGCAGGAGCTGTTAAAGTGGAATGGTTGGGGTTACAGTGATTCCAAATTTTTTCTCAACAAGGATGGACAAGTGGAATTTTCAGGAGATCGGTAAAATAAAAGCTATCAGTTTTCAAAAGTAAATTTTAAGAAGGCAGACTTAGCTTCAATACTGTGAGATTCATTTTGTTAATTCATGCCAAACACTTTTTTATTTTTGTGGGTGATCTACAGGTATCGTTTGAGTGGACAGGTGATGCCACTTCTCCGAGAATGGATGATGGCAACTGTAGGCATTAGTCTAGATCACAAGACACCAGCTCAGGTAAAAATACAATTAGCAGTGAAAATGGAAGTTAGAAAATTTAAAATTTGAAATGACGCCATTTTAAAGGGTACATGGTGTTATGTAATCTCTGAACTATCATGGACCATACATTCTTCATCTTCAGAACATCAGGGGTCCTGTGTTAACTCATTGCTGTGGGACCCCTGACAAACTTCATTCAGTATCTTGTAATGAGTTGACACAGGACCCCCTGTCATTGTGAGGTCGTACATTCTTGTATTCATAATCATGAAAGTATGTGTTGATGATCTAGCAAATCTAAATCTGTAATCACTTTTTAGCTCACCTGAGCCAAAGGCTCAAGTGAGCTTTTCTGATCACATTTTGTCTGTAGTCCGTCTGTCCGTCTAGCTGTCTGTCCGTCTGTCTGTCTGTCCGTCCGTCTGTAAACTTTTCACATTTTCAACCTCTTCTCAAGAACCACTGGGCCAATTTCAACCAAACTTGCCACAAAGTATCCTTGGGTGAAGGGGATTCAAGTTTGTTCAAATGAAGGGCCATGCCCTCTTTCAAGGGGAGATAATAAAGAATTAGTGAAAAATTAATAGTATCCTTTAAAAATTTTCTTCTCAATAACCACAAAGCCAGGGAAATTGAAACTCATGTGGAAGCATCCTCAGGTAGTGTAGATTTAAATTTGTTCAAATCATGACCCCCGGGGGTAGGGCGGGGCCACAATGGAGGATCAAAGTTTTACATAGAAATATATATAGGAAAAACCTTTAAAAATCTTCTTCTCAAGAACAGCAAAGCCATGATAAGTCATATTTATATGGAAGCATTCCTTAGATAGTGGAGATTCAAGTTTGTTCAAATCATGACCCCCGGGGGTAGGGCGGGACCACAATGGAGGATCAAAGTTTTACATAGAAATATATAGGAAAAACCTTTAAAAATCTTCTGAAGAAGAACAGCAAAGCCATGATAAGTCATATTTATATGGAAGCATCCTCAGGTAGTGTAGATTCAAGTTTGTTCAAATCATGACCCCCGGGGGTAGGGCGGGGCCACAATGGAGGATCAAAGTTTTACATAGAAATATATAGGAAAAATCTTTAAAAATCTTCTTCTCAAGAACAGCAAAGCCCTAATCGGTCATATTTATATGGAAGCATCCTCAGGTAGTGTAGATTCAAGTTTGTTCAAATCATGACCCCCGGGGGTAGGGCAGGGCCACAATGGAGGATCAAAGTTTTACATAGAAATATGAAGGAAAAATCTTTAAAAATCTTCTTCTCAGGTACAGCAAAGCCCTGATTGATCATATTTATGTGGAAGTATCTTCAGGTAGTGTAGATTTAAATTTGTTCAAATCATGATCCCCGGGGGTAGGGCGGGGCCACAATGGAGGATCAATGCCTGAAATAAAAATATATAGGAAGGTATCTTCTTCTCAAGAACAGCAAAGCCCTAATTGGTCATATTTATATGGAAGCATCCTCAGGTAGTGTAGATTCAAGTTTGTTAAAATGATGACCCCGGGGATAGGGATGGGCCACAATGGGCGATCAAAAATTTTTTACATAGGAACATATTGGAAAATATCTTCTTCTCAAGAAATGAAAATCATGTTTAGTCATTTTGATATGGAAGCATCCTCAGGTAGTGTAAATTCAATTTTTTTTTTCAAATGATAACCCCCAGGGGTAGGGTGGGGCCCAATGGGGATCGAAAGTTTTATGTAAGAACACATAGAAAAAATATTTCTTCTCAAGAACAGAAAAGCTATGTTTAGTCATATTGATATGGAAGCATCCTCCGGTAGTGTAGATTCAAGTTTGTTCAAATGATGACCTCTGGGATAGGGAGGAGCCGTAATGGGGGATCAAAATTTTACAAAGAAATATATGGGAAAAAAATTTTAAAATCTTCTCAAGTACAACAAAGCCATTTGTTATATTGACATGGAAGCATCATCAGGTAGTTTAAAATTCAACCCCCCCAACCCCCGGTAATCTTTTCAATACTGAACTGATTTGTGTCTAGCCAATGTGCTCAGGTGAGCGATGTGGCCCATGGGCCTCTTGTTATATTCGTATAGCCGCCATTGACAGCCAAGGATATAAATGCACCGACAAGAAATGAAGAATTTATCTCAGATCTTAGAAGAACCAGCATTCCTTTCACTGATGATTGTCAGGACCGACTTTTTCGTGCTCACGGTACACTTGTTGTCTATGTAAAAAATGTATCAGACATCTGTTGTACTTTAATAAGAAAGTTAATTTAAATAGAGGATTCAAAAAGTCAATGTACAATATAAGTCAATATACAATTAAATTGGTCCAATCTAAGAATAATTTCTGTATTTGAATGCTTGGTATGAATTTACTTTTACTTATTAATTTTAGGACACACATTACATGAAATTTTTGTCTTGAGAGAGGGAATGTTTGACCGAATCCCTGATCTAGTAGTTTGGCCTCGTAAGTTTCAGATTGTCTTCATACAATTTAACATTTTATGTTGCTAATTTGTTTGTTTTTGTTTTTTATTTGTGGTCAGTCTAATATTATAAATCAGAAAAGTAACAATCAGTTGATTATAATCAAAGACTATTCATACTGTTGTAACTATATGCATCATAGCAAGAAACTGTAAACATACTTTTTTTCCATGTGGTCATAATTCCACAGAATCACAATTTTTGTTCTATCTGCGGGTAGCAAATTACATGGATTAATTGGATTGCCATTGTATGTCTTAAATGAAATTTAAGTATGCTGAAATTAACTTTGGTTTATAATTTGTGACCACATAGCATAAATTAATCCCACACAGGAAAAAGTCTGTCTTAAGTAGTTCATTGTTACTCATGTGGATAGAAATGTTCATTGAAATGTTTTTGTTTTTGTTTTCTCAGAGTGCCATGACGATGTTGTAAAGATCACAGCTTTATGTTGTAAACACAATGTAGTCATTATTCCATTTGGAGGTAAGAAACACAAGAATATGAATTTTTTTTTCCCAATAGATTCTTTCTCTGTTGAATTCAAATGAGTTTACTTTTCAAAAAGTCGTATCATTTTGATTCACTTTGATTAAACCTCTCTTTTAACATAGCAACAGGCTATCTTACATCAAGGTATGCAACCCTTAAGTATTTATTGATTTGTGTTTTTATTTTTATTGACAGGAGGAACAAGTGTGTCAGGTGCTTTGGAGTGTCCAGCCGAGGAAAGAAGAATGATTGTCTCCCTTGACACATCACAAATGGTAACCATAGCTTTAGCTTTATAATGTCACCAGTCATTTAGTCATGCTCTGTCACACAGCAGATATAATGGACAATATTTGAATGTAGACTTACTTGGAGGAATTTTACTTAATTCTAGAACAAAATCCTGTGGATTGATGAGAAAAATCTGACAGCCCACTGTGAGGCAGGGATAATTGGCCAGGATCTTGAGAGAAGGGTAAGCTTAGATGAAAGATCTTCAGTAAAGTATGTTAAATATTTAAGCCAGCTACAGTTCTACAGTAAATGATTTTTTTTTTGATAAGTTTATATGAATTATTACACACAGAGGGCAAAAGGCTAAGTTGATCAAAGTGAGAATTCATTAGTATGTCTTCCTTTAACCTTATTTTGGTCACTTACAAATGTATTTTTAAAATGATGTCACTCTAATAGTACATGTATTTTCTTTTCAGTTGGCTCAGAAGGGTTTCTGCACTGGACATGAACCAGACTCAATGGAGTTCAGCTCCCTTGGTGGCTGGGTGGCCACTAGAGCATCAGGAATGAAGAAAAACATTTATGGCAATATTGAAGATCTGGTAACTATTAAAGAAAAAGGTCAAATTTCTTTAAAGTATTGATAGAAAGGAATACAGTAATGAATGCAAACTATGCCCCGATAACTTTCATTTCAAATAGAATTGATCAGCATAATATGTACAGTAAGATACACTTATAGCTGAATGCCGGGGACAAACAGTTATGATTCGTCATTAATGTAATTTGTTTTATCCATCATTTTTAAAATACATTTTTGAACTATGGGGAATGAATATCACTGTGCTGTAAACATGAATTCATAAAAAGCATGTTTGCTACAAGCAAGTTTTACTATGCACAACTACTTCTTTACAAGTCTGGACTCTAGCAAGTGCATGTGGTGTTGCATTGGTGTTGCAAAAATAATTGGTTCCATCACTGTGCTAGACCTATTATCTTTTATGTATCATATCAGTATTGATGGTAAGTTTTATTACAGGTGGTGCACATAAAGTTTGTGACCCCGAGGGGTGTGATGGAGAAGAGTTGTCAAGTCCCACGCATGTCTTCAGGATTAGACATACATCACTTTATCATGGGATCAGAGGGTAAGTAACTCTGATTGTACTGTAAAATCTGAAAATACAGTAGAACCTCATTAGTCTGGATTTTACAATCTTGTATAGAATTGTTAAAGGCATAGAGTCTACATTTTGTGCAACAATCTCCAGCTAATGTTAATCATGCAAGCTTGAGAAATATTGTACCAAAATGTGGGCACCACAAAGCGGAGCATCCCCTCACAAAAGAGCACATCGATCCCGACATTTAAATTATTAATTATTACCTGGGTAACTTCCATTATTTCCTATATAGCTTGTAACATGAGCTTTGATTGGTTACAAAGTCAGGTGTAAATTTCCGTACACCCGACTTGAGCCGGGGGTAAAAAATGTGACTTCACAATGCATAGTTTCTCTATGATAAAAAGCAAATAACATGACGTCACGATGCATTGTAGTAAATCTTATCAATAGCTTGAAACACAGTTGATTGGACTTGTTTACAAAGAATTTATTTGGGTACATAGGAAATAAATTTGTTATCCAGGTCCAATGAAGGGTGTACGGGGATTTACCCCGGGTTGTATTCCATACACCCTTCGGCCTCAGGATGTATGGAATAAAACCCGGGGTAAATCGGCCCCAGAGTGTATGGAATAAAAGCTGGGGTAAATCCCCGTATACCCTTGATTGGACCTGGATAACTAATATTATGCACCAACTCATCCACACACACAATTATATATCCCCCCCTGCTTCATTGCAAGGGGATGTAAATAAGTTAAAAAGCTCTTATAGTCAATAGGTAAAAGTATGTAGAAGAATTTTATCTGAGATGTATCTCTTTTTCCCATTTAGGAACACTGGGTGTGGTAACTGAGGTGACATTGAAGATTCGCCCTCTTCCTCCATGCAGAAAGTATGGCTCCATAGTTTTCCCAGATTTTGTTAATGGTGTCAACTGTCTTAGGGAGATAGCAAGGCAAAGGTGTGCTCCAGCCTCAATACGACTAATGGACAATCAACAATTCCAATTTGGTGAGAAAATTTTCAGAAGAATGTTCTTACAAGAGTCAAACATTATTTTGTCTTAATTTGGTTTTTGCTAATAAATGTGATCTGCTGGTATAATTGTAAGGAGCTTTATTTTAGTGATGTTGGGTGGTAGTATCAGTGTTTGTTTTGGTGTTTTTTAGGTCATGCTTTGAAACCTGAGTCAAAATCCTTATTAAATAGCTTTGTTGAAGGCATTAAAAAGTTTTACATCACAAAACTTAAAGGTTTTGATACGTCCAAGATGGCTGTAGCTACTCTCTTGTTTGAGGGGACTAAACAGGTTTGTACTTCAAAAATATATATATACGATGTCTAGGAACTCGGTATTCTTTATCTTATATAATGCAACAGATTTTTTAAAACAAAATTTTAATTTGCAGTACATGTAATGTCAAGCGTGCTTTATAAAATTCATTTCTCCCATCTTTCTTTTTAACAGGAAGTGGCAGCACAAGAGAAGAGAGTGTATGAGATTGCTGCTCAGTTTGGGTATGGGAGAATATACATATAACATGACCTGAAATCTTACATTCTTGATTTGTCAGTTTAAAGGACTTTTAAAGTTCTTATATTTTGAAAAAAAATAGTATTTCGTCATGATTTATTCATTGAAATAATATTTGTATATAACTTGTCATAACCACTAACATTTTTAGCTCACCTCGACGAAGTCGAGATGAGCTTATGCTATACCCCCGGCGTTGGCGTCGGCGTCGGCGTTAGCGTCGGCGTCCCGGTTAAAGTTTTAGGAGCAAGTCCCATTCCCAAGTTACTATAAGCCCTACCTGGACCAAACTTGCATGGATGATGCATCTAGAATGGACACTGCCACACTTGCTTCGGATGCTGGATCTGACCTAGATTTTCCAGATGAGTGACCAGGTTAAAGTTTTTGGAGCAGGTCCATTCCCAAGGAACTATACGCCCCACCTGAACCAAACTTGTATGGATGATGCATCTAGGGATGGACACTACCACACTTGCTTCGGATGCTGGATCTGACCTAGATTTTCCAGATGAGTGACCAGGTTAAAGTTTTTGGAGCAGGTCCATTCCCAAGGAACTATACGCCCTACCTGAACCAAATTTGCATGGATGATGCATCTAGGGATGGACACTACCACACTTGCTTCGGATGCTGAATCTGACCTAGATTTTCCAGATGAGTGACCAGGTTAAAGTTTTTGGAGCAGATCCATTCCCAAGTAACTATACGCCCTACCTGAACCAAACTTGCATGGATGATGCATATAGGGATGGACACTACCACACTTGCTTCGGATGCTGAATCTGACCTAGATTTTTCCAGATGAGTGACCAGGTTAAAGTTTTTGGAGCAGGTCCATTCCCAAGTAACTATAAGCCCTACCTGGACCAAACTTGCATGGATGATGCATCTAGGGATGGACACTACCACACTTGCTTCAGATGCTGAATCTAACCTAGATTTTCCAGATGAGTGACCAGGTTAAAGTTTTTGGAGCAGGTCCATTCCCAAGTAACTATACGCCCTACCTGAACCAAACTTGCAATGATGATGCATCTAGGGATGGACACTACCACACTTGCTTCGGATGCTGAATCTGACCTAGATTTTCCAGATGAGTGACCAGGTTAAAGTTTTTGGAGCAGATCCTTTCCCAAGTAACTATAAGCCCTACCTGAACCAAACTTGCATGGATGATGCATATAGGGATGGACACTACCACACTTGCTTCGGATGCTGGATCTGACCTAGATTTTCCAGATGAGTGACCAGGTTAAAGTTTTTGGAGCAGGTCCATTCCCAAGTAACTATACGCCCTACCTGGACCAAACTTGCATGGATGATGCATCTAGGGATGAACACTACACACTTGCTTCGGATGCTGAATCTGACCTAGATTTTCCAGATGAGTGACCAGGTTAAAGTTTTTTGAGCAGGTCTATTTCCAAGTAATTATAAGTCCTTCTTAAACCAAACTTGTATAGATATTGATCTTGGGGTGTACACTAACTAGAAAAAATATGATGTGAGATTTGCCTTACTTATAGATAACCTTCGTCGAGGTGAGCTTCGTAATCTTTGATTACCTATGTTTCAGGGGTTTGCCAGCAGGTGCTGACAATGGGGAGAGAGGATATATGTTAACTTTTGTTATTGCTTATTTAAGGGTAAGAACCTTTTTCAGAGCTATTTAAATTACCTTATCCCTGCTCTGTTGATCTTCATGAATCTGTGATTTTCAAGTACATTCAGTAGTTAAGATAGAAGACAAGTTGCTGTCAGTATAATTTTAATCTTGACCTTTCTTCTGAGTATTAATGCAGTCAATCTCTTACTTTTAGGATTTGGGATTTGAGTACTACATAGTAGCAGAATCATTTGAAACTTCTGTGCCTTGGGATAGGTAAGTATTTGGCTGCAGCACTTTCATTTTTAGCTCACCTGAGCCAAAGGCTCAAGTGAGCTTTTCTGATCAAAATTTGTCCGTTGTCTGTCGTCGTCATCGTTGTTGGCGTTGTCGTTGTCGTAAACTTTTTACATTTTCATCTTCTTCTCAAGAACCACTGGGCCAAATTCAACCAAACTTGCCACAAAGCATCCTTGGGTAAAGGGGATTCAAGTTTGTTCAAATGAAGGGCCACGCCCTCTTTCAAGGGGAGATAATTAGGAATTAGTGAAAAAATAATGGCATCATTTAAAAATCTTCTTCTCAAGAACCACATGGCCAGGAAAGATGAAACTTATGTGGAAACATCCTCAGGTAGTATAGATTCAAGTTTGTTTAAATCATGACCCCCGGGGGTAGGGTGGGGCCACAATGGGGGATCCAAGTTTTACAAAGAAATATATAGGAAAATATCTTTCAAAATCTTCTTCTTAAGAACAGTAAAGCCAAGATTGGTCATATTTATATGGAAGCATCCTCAGGTAGTGTAGATTCAAGTTTGTTCAAATCATGACCCCAGGAGGTAGAGTGGGGCCACAATGAGGGATCAAAGTTTTACATAGAAATATATAGGAAAATATCTTTCAAAATCTTCTTCTTAAGAACAGCAAAGCCATGATTGGTCATATTTTTATGGAAGCATCCTCAGGTAGTGTAGATTCAAATTTGTTCAAATCATGACCCCCGGGGGTAGGGTTGGGCCACAATGGGGGATCCAAGTTTTACATAGAAATATATAGGAAAATATCTTTAAAAATCTTCTTCTTAAGAAACGTAAAGCCAAGATTGGTCATATTTATATGGAAGCATCCTCAGGTAGTGTAGATTCAAGTTTGTTCAAATCATGACCCCCGGGGGTAGGGTGGAGCCACAATGGGGGATCCAAGTTTTACATAGAAATATATAGGAAAATATCTTTCAAAATCTTCTTCTTAAGAACAGGAAAGCCATGATTGGTCATATTTATATGGAAGCATCCTCAGGTAGTGTAGATTCAAGCTTGTTCAAATCATGACCCCTGGGGGTAGGGTGGGGCCACAATGGGGGATCAAAGTTTTACATAGATATACACTAGACAAAATTGCTAACGCACCACTTGTTATTCTTATTTGTGAGTTGATAATTTTCCTGATTGGTACTAGTATATAAAATATGCCATCTTTTCCAAAACAGTTGGATTGACAAATGTCTTGGTGTCATGTCAAGACCCTTAAAGGACTCTCTTGTCCAAAAACCAATTTCCCGACGTGCACCGCGCACCTTTTTTGCCAAGATATGAAGTTGGTGATTACCGATGGTGGTCCGTGACGTTGCGACTGGAGCAGACTCCCACTTAAAAATCAAATGATATACCCTGATTGACTACCATATCGCTTAGTAGTCATCCAGTGCCTTGGTGTCTCTACCAAATCAACCCAACTTTCCGGTTGCCCCAATTTTGTGGAACAATCTTGAAATTATTGTGTGGTGCTCACTTAATGCCGTCAATATCTATTGTAAACATTTTTATGATCGTTAATTCATATTCAACAGTTTTTCACCAGAGGAATTCATAATCATTTAATTCTTTTAATTTTTCACAAATTTCTTCAAAGGAACCCCCTGCAGAAACCATACTGGCTGCCTTAGCACGCTCTTCTAGAGTCAAACGCCACATACGGTGTAACTTTTTATTGAGTTTTTAATTAGTACAAACATGAAGAACACAATCACAAAGAAAACATTAGAAAATTATTCCACCAAAAAAGTATGGATATCATTTTATTTTTTTCTATGAAGTGGTTACGCTTCAGTAAACATTGTTGTTTATTATCAGTTAAAGCACTTAAATGTCTCATTTTTTATCAAAGTAACATAATTATATCTCAAAAACACCATAAACAAGTTTTGAAAAGAAAAATGTTAATTTATTTAGGTGGTGCGTTAGCAATTTTGTCTAGTGTATATAGGAAAATATCTTTAAAAATCTTCTTCTTAAGAACAGCAAAGCCATGATTGGTCATATTTATATGGAAGCATCCTCAGGTAGTGTAGATTCAAGTTTGTTCAAATCATGACCCCCGGGGTAGTGTGGGGCCACAATGGGGGATCCAAGTTTTACATAGAAATATATAGGAAAATATCTTTCAAAATCTTCTTCTTAAGAACAGGAAAGCCATGATTGGTCATATTTATATGGAAGCATCCTCAGGTAGTGTAGATTCAAGCTTGTTCAAATCATGACCCCTGGGGGTAGGGTGGGGCCACAATGGGGGATCAAAGTTTTACATAGAAATATATAGGAAAATATCTTTCAAAATCTCTTCTTAAGAACAGCAAAGCCATGATTGGTCATATTTATATGGAAGCATCCTCAGGTAGTGAAGATTCAAGTTTGTTCAAATCATGACCCCCGGGGGTAGGGTGGGGCCACAATGAGGGATCAAAGTTTTTCATAGAAATATATAGGAAAATATCTCTTAAAATCTTCTTCTTAAAAACAGTAAAGCCATGATTGGTCATATTTATATGGAAGCATCCTCAGGTAGTGAAGATTCAAATTTGTTCAAATCATAACCCCCAGGGGTAGGGTGGGGCCACAATGAGGGATCAAAGTTTTACATAGAAATATATAGGAAAATATCTCTAAAATCTTCTTAAAAACAGTAAAGCCATGATTGGTCATAATTATATGGAAGCATCCTCAGATAGTGAAGATTCAAGTTTGTTCAAATCATTACCCCGGGGATAGGTTGGGGCCACAATGGATGATCAAAGTTTACAGAGGAATATATAGGAAAAAGTCTTTTTCTCAAGAACAGAAAAGCCATGATTAGTCAAATTGATATGGAGGCATCTTTGGGTAGTGTAGAATGAAATTTGTTCAAATGAGGGCCCCCGGGGGTAGGGTGGGGCCACAATGGGGGATCAAATTTTTACAAATGAATATATGGGAAAAAAATCTGCTGCTCAAGAACAACAAAGCCATTTGTTATATTGATATGAAAGCATCATCAGGTAGTTTAAAATTCAACATCCCCCCCCCCCCCTGTAAACTTTTCAATACTGTACTGATATTTGCTTTTTTTTTTCCTAGCCAATGTGCTCAGGTGAGTGATGTGGCCCATGGGCCTCTTGTTTATTTAATTGTGATGTACTTTCATTTTTAAATACACTCTTTTATCATGAAAGTAATGCTTATGACATATGTATCTACCATGCTCAGATAATATGGATCCATAGTCCATGGCTTCATTTAAGCCCATTCAATTTGGAAACTTGGCACTGTGAGAGTTCTAAATGTTTTGTAGCATTGTCTTTCTTTCAGGTGTTTAGACTTGTGCCAAAATGTCAAAGACAGGTTACACAGAGAGTGTAAAGAGAAAGGCATTCAGTTTCCTCCCTACATCACCTGCAGGTTAGTGAGACTGGGAACTTTTATATTCAGTGAAATAAAGTCTTGCAGGAAAGCATGTTATTGCAAAGCAGGAACAGGAAATACTGCTCTTGTTTGCCAAGCATAGTTTATCTCAATTGTTATGCTTTTATTGATGAAAAGAATTGTCTATGTTTAGATTTGACTATTAATGTCAGGATTTATAAGTTTTCTTTAACTTTAGGGTAACACAGACATATGACGCAGGTGCTTGTGTGTATTTTTACTTTGGTTTTAATTACCGAGGAATTCAGAACCCAGTCCATGTGTATGAAGAAATAGAGGTAAGATACTTTTGTAATGTTTTTGTCCTGTACATTGTACAATAATGTGCATTTTGTGTTACAGTGTTGATTAGATTTATTGATACTGATATTATATCCGTATTTTTCCTAGGGGTCGGCAAGAGATGAAATTTTGGCAAATGGAGGAAGTATATCCCATCACCATGGTGGTAGGTTTCTTTGTTAACATTTTAAATTGATTTCCCACTCAAAGATATTACATCCCACTTTTCCCTATTGAATTACAGTAAAATTTGGTTATAAAGAACTCAGTTATAAAAAGAAGTCTCAGTCATAAGGATTTTTTTAATGAATCCCTTAGGTGACTTTTCACTGTGTTCCTTATACGGATATAAAAATTCTCAGTTTAAAAGAAAGTTCAAAATCCCAGTAACTCTCCTTATAATAGAGTTTTACTGTATACTCTAGATTTTCTGATTTAACAAGTAACATTAAAGGAAACAAATGGCCGACATTTATTTGAAATGTTCTGATATTTATAGTGCATTGCATTCTTTCAGTTGGTAAGCTGAGGAAGAAATGGTTGAAGAAAACAGTTGGAGAAGTGGGACTAGGATCCATGCGGGCCATCAAGAGTTTTATAGACCCCAACAACATATTTGGAAATGACAACCTTATGATTGGCGAAGCAAAGTTATAAAATATTGGACAAGTTACATGTAATTCAAATAAGATAGAGTATACTATAGTGAAAAAAATTGGGATAAAAATTCAAACACTCTTGAATCTTAGTCTTATCATTTAAATGGAAGGGTAGAAAATTGCAATCATTATATCATATTAAAATACATGGAGTATAAGATAGATAGAATGTTTCATTTACATACAAAAGTTGAACATCAGTCATGTGGCAAAGTTATTACTGGAAAGAGGAAAGATGATAGCAAGATCTTTGAGAATGAAATCCTTCTGGCTAGTGCAATATGTGAAGTTTTGTATGGTACATGATGTGTACTCTATATATGCACTCTGAACTCTTTTAAACTTATTTGAAATTACTGGTACTCTGTACAAGATCATGCAAATTTTATATTTTGTCATTAAACTTCAGTGAATATTTGAATACACAGGTTTGAGACTTCATATTTTCACAAGATCCAAGAACTCTTGAAAAAATGGGAGAACTTGGTGACAGATTGCTCTCCCCTTTTTTATACTCTGCTTTCATGGTCAGTTCCATTATGTAGATCTTTAAATTCTGTCATCTCTTTATTATGCCAGTTTGGCAGGTTTCTTGCATATTTGATAATTATCTCTTGTATATTCAGTTATATAATTTATTTTAGTAGTTATTTGTACAATATTGAACCAAATTATTCTTTAATTATATTGTATCATTTTTTTTTTTCTTCATACTCTGTTATTTGAAAATCTTTCTTTGTGCATGATTCTTGTTAATTTTATTTTTTTTTAACAAATGAACAAATATTGAAAGTAGTAAAGTCTGTATATTTCAATCTACAGGGTACAGCTTTTGTTCAAATCCATTAGAAGTCGTAATAATCAATTTCGCCATACAATTTATTTTAATAAAGTTCAATCTCAGTGTTTATGATTTAAATGTCAACTGTGTTATTTTTTTTTGCATTTTGAATGTCAGAAAATTGTATGGATGATTTCTTTTTGTGCAATTTAATTTATGAAATGACTGGTTATGCATGATGCACATGTATACATGTAGCTGTGTTCGTTCATCAGTCAATCATGTTCAATTTAAGCATTATTTGTTTGTTGAATTCTTTTTACAAAATTTGATCATTATGCTGTAATTAATTGCTGTTTTAGACAGCCAATCCAACAAACCAAAAAATATATGAAAGTTTTAAGAAATAAACAGAAATTAAATTCAAGCTAAAGAATGTTTATTGTTACTAACTTTCAGAGGTCTGATAACCACAAGCTGATACTCTGGTAAGAGAGATAACTCAATGAGTAAATTATTGCTTTAGAAATTTATCAAGTTGAAATGTCATTTTGGTCCAATTTTGCACTTCAAGCTATGATAAAATTGTTTGCATTTTACTTACAAAATACATTTCTTTGGAAAATCATGAGTTAAAGAAACATTTGATATGAGTGAGCTGAGGGTTAATTATGTTTCACTGTCATTCTTTCTATTCCTGTTAGCATGCATAAAAATGTGCTGTGTAATACATTCCATATACAAAGTATGGAAAATGACTATCTTTTTCACATTTCCATTGACAGAATTTCTTTAGAACAAGGGTGTTGAGTGCTCTGCACTTGGAGATTATTTTTTAAATGGTTTATGCGTTTGTTTCTCAGTTGGCAATATGTCCCAAAAAAGAGTTCATTGTAAATTTTCCATGAAATTGTAAACAAACTCAACACATGTAACAAATGATAATTTTGAGAGATCCAGGAGAGATGAAGTGTGGAGATATAAATGTGTCTCGTATTTGGCTTAATCTGTACAACCCACAGGTGTTTGGGGACGGGACACCTCTCCTCTGGCATTCCGTTACCCAAGGGTTCAACTTTTTTTCCATAAAATATTTTTGTATGACACATTGACAAAGTATTACAATTGAAGAATCCTAAATATAACCTAAAACTAATCTTTTATATATATATATATATATATATATATATATATATATATATATATATATATATATATATATATATATATCACACTCTCTGATACCTAAAAAAACAAGGTTCTCTTTTAGTATCAGAGATTGTGAATTTTTATAAAAGGTTATACTTTGTGAATGTGTCATAGAAAAATATTTTATGAAAAAAAGTCGAAGCATCCTTGGGGTACAGAATGCAAAGGGGGAGGGGGTCCGTCCCCAAGCACCTGTGTCATAACTGGCACTTGTATACACGCAGCCACTGTCTATATAATATGTATTTGGGAAAAGATTGTTCTGTAAACGCTCTTGTTACATTTGACTTCTTCGGGGTGACTGAATACTTCGGAGTATGTAACCAAAAGAAAATTTTAAAGATGAACAATCTTACCAGATTTATTCAAATTAAAATACATAAACATTACATTGTCAATAAGAGGAATACAGTTTAACTTTTGGCACTTTTAGAGCGGTCTATAATATATTCCACTTTATTTTTTTCGTCCTGCGTGAGGTCCTCTTCATATTTTGGAATCGAGAGTTCATAGCAGCATTTCTTGCAACGATCATGAACTATAGCAATCCTTTGTTCCTTATTTGCACGTCTTTGCTTGGTGAGGGAGGCACTTTTATGACTTCGACCTGCAAGGGACATATCAATTTTGGGAAACGATGTTTTAGCTCGCTTCACCTGCTTTTTCTTTTTCTTCTTTACTCTTGGTTCGTCAAACGACACTAGAGGTCGCTGATACAGCGCAGACGTCGCATTTTCAGAAGAGTATGTTTTTGCAGAAGCTTGTGTAACGTGGGTCTTCCGGGAAACTCCGTCAATTTGTGCTTCTCTATCCGTGTCAGTTTCTTCGTTGTCGGAGAGTCCCAATCCATCTCCGGGGTCATCGATGATCTCTTCCTCGCTACTGGCGTCTGCTTCATTGTCAGCAATTGCCCCCTCGTCTATCTGCCCCTTTACTTCATCTTCATTTAAAATTTCGTCAATTGTTTCCTTTAAATTTTCATTTTCGGTTTTCCGACTTTGATCGTCGTCTTTTTCTGCTCTTTCATTTTCAGTGGGTAAATCTGATGAAATATCTCCTTCTTCATCAAATGTAACATCCGCTGGTTTATTAGCGTTTTCGACCATTTTGAGAGATGTATCTATGTATATTGATGACATTTTACTTTGATTGTCCATTGTTCTATTTATTTCATCTATAATTTTGTCCATGTTTTCATCTTCCTCACACTGCGATATACTCCTCAATTCTTTATCCACTTTGGAACTTTGCATGCTTTCAGACTGTCTTCCATTATCGATATGTGAAATCTTATTTGTCACCTTTTTCTTTTTCTTTTCAACGTCCACTCCTTTGGGAGAGATCATTTTTGAGAATCGATGTTTTCTTATTTTGGGCAGTCCTTGTAATGCAGTAGCCTTTAACATCAACTCCTCTTTGTGATTCAATCTCCTTGGACTGGGCTTTTTGATCGGTTCCAACATATTCTGAAGACAACGACTTCGAAGATGATGAAATGATAGATCTTCTGCACTTTCAACGTACTTAACGACTTTTGGATAGTCTTCCGTTTTAAGGTCTTCAACAAACTTTGTTATGGTGTGTTCGAATGGACATCTTTTGCAATTTACTCTTAGAATTGCTATCCTGTGGTTTTTCTGCGCCATTCTCATTTCATGAGCAGACTGTCGAAGCTTTTCTTCATCACGTGTGCTTTTGGCGGGCTTTGGTTTTTGCACCCTATCCGTAAACACTACTGGGTAATCATTGAAAGACACCCCAGTTTTGACAGGTGGTGCTATGCTCTCTATATCCTCATCCTCCTTCTCGACATCTTCAGTCACGTCTGCTGAACTCTGTGGAATTTCTTCTAATTGTTCTGATTCATTGATTTCCTCATTCTGTTTTGTGTCGTCTGCTTCTTCTTTTTTGAAGGAACTCCCGCCGTCTGTTGTTGTTTCTGTTTGCTTACTTTCATCATCCATTAATTCATCCAGCATTTCATTGAAATAATCGAAATTTGGCGGCGGTTTCTTGTGGGATTTTTTACTTTGTCTTGTTGTCGGCCGGAGGTACTCTTCATATTTATCCTCGCTTATCTCAACGAGGTCTTTCAGATGCGTGCCAACAGGTGGTTTTACACTGAAATCAAACATATGTTGACGAATATCAAAGCCACTGCCAAGATGTTTCCTTTTCTTGCTCGTGCGAACGAGAACTGCGTTGAAACAATTGAGGAGGCTGCCCATAACGACTGGAATTATGCTTATGATCGTCATGAAAAATCCATATTCAAGAGAGATCTGTTTTCCGCTGTTATTGTAAGCGAATGAGTATGCTGCGATGATGATTAGAAGACCTGTACAAAATATATCAAAAAATAAATGAATGCCTCGATCAGAATTAGTAACATCAAACCAAGAGGTTATGACTGGTCTGCGGATATTCCGATTTGCACTGTAGTAGATTCGATCTACTAACATTATATCAAGTGTACGTTAGCAATGAAAACTAGGCAATACCATGTCTACGACCAAAAAAAAAAAAAATTAAATGACACCAATGCAAGAAAGTGAAAGACTAATATCAAAAGTATAAATAGGTGAACTCACCTGCGACAATTCCCGTCCCCGCGGAGGCGTACAGTAGTCTCCTTTTGGTTCTATACTCCCAGTAAAATTGTAAAAACCCCGTCCCCGTGGATACAAAGTAAAAGAAGAGGCCCAGACTGGCCATAGCCTGGACAAAATCCTTCCAGGATCCTGCAACACAAAAAAAGTATAAAGAATGTGTTTTTATCATATATACATATATTGCTGAAATATTTGGGTATATTTATCAATGTCTAAAACAGAAGGTCATTAACATGTGTTTCAAAACTCCTGTACATGTATGTATAAGGACAATTGCACAGTTTATGTCTTTGTGATTGCCATTTAAAAAGAAGACTGGGGCCAAATAATTCTGTAAATAATGCAGATACCAACCAGATACGTTTTCCAAATAACAAAAATACTTCGCACTTAGAATTTTATTTTTCAAATCAACTACGGAGTTTTACCTTTTCTTCACTTTCGTATAAGGATTAAAATGTCAGAATTAGAAGGAAAAAAAATCAGTCATTATGCGAGAAATGGTCATTTAAGGTTATTCATCCCTCTCAAGTTCTGAAAATCATCAGCCAAGTATAACTGAAAATGCTCACAAAAATATACTTGAATTCAAAAAGTAGTATGTACATTGTATCTTCACATGCCATTTTCTCATTTTCGCCATTTTACGGTAGTTAATCATTATGAGCAGGGAAAATTACAAAATCTCAAATACATATTAAGGAATGTGAAGAAAAGTCAATAATGCACTGTCTAGATGAAAATTGATCAACAATTTAATGTATTCTAGGATTAAAAAAAAACAAAACAAACAAACAAATAAGATATCCAGACAACAGTAGAGAAATTAATGAATTTGATACCATATGGTATTGTAGTTCTTCTTTTAACTTCAATTTCTATATAACATGTATATGTTATGTTAAAAGTATGTGTATCGCAAGTTATCACAGAACAATTCCAATTTAGTTTCATGCTTATAAGGTTTGGTATAAACAAAAGCTTATAGGATCAAACTACGAGAGACTGTTTTTCAAAAGCATTATATATAACGCTAAGGTAAAGGAATATATTACTATATCTAGGCCGTAGGAACCGGGGAGGGGGGGGCACGAGGGGGCCGTTCCCCCCCCCCCCCCAATAATTTTGCCGACCTATACAATACTATAGAAAACATAACTACTATATGCTTGTGCCCCCTCAATAATAATATTTGATAACCTTTTTGAAATTTTGGTGGTTGATAGTGCCCCCCCCCCCCCCACTGAAAATGTATGGTTGTGCCCCCTCAAAGTGAAATTGCTTCCTACGGGCCTGTATATAATAAAGAATTTTTACTTTTCCATTTCGCGTTAATTCGCTTTTCCAAAAGGTGCAATGACGCCTTTTTACTTTTCGTTACAAATTCTTGTTGAAATGACGCTATTACGCGTTTTAACTTTGCATTGGTGTGTCTTTTCACATTTGCCCTGTAGTTTGCCCCTTATAGGCTTTCGTAGGCATATAAGGCGAGTTTAAAGAAAATTTGATTTCTGTAAAATAAATAAAATGGTTGTGTGATGGGGCGTCCGCTTCGTGATCGGGAGGTACCGGGTTCGATTCTTGTTCAAACCTAAGACGTACACATAGGTAGTGACTGTTCCTTTGCCATGCGCCCGCACTAAAAGTGAAAGTCACTGGTCTTTCGGATGAGACCTTAAAAACCGAGGTCCCGTGTCACAGTAGGCGGTTGTACGATAAAAAACTCTCACTGATCATGGTCCCGAGTATATTTTCAAGATTGTTTCAAAGAAATCAAACTACCTTAGATCATATAGTAAGAAGCATGAAATGAAAATAGGTCTACAACAAGATTTAATTTCCAGCTTTATTCTGAGACTTATTCAAATAATTATTTTTTTGATACTGAGTTAATGTTCCTTGCTGAGAGATGGACATCCTTAATGCAAAATTTTATTGTTACCAAACTTTACATTACTTTGAAAAAATATTCCCAATTAAAGGACAATATTCTGTAATGACCAATATCTGCAATATCAAAAAATCAAAAATCAAACTTTGATGGTGAAATCTAAACCAGGGGAACATCTGCAGACTTCAAATCATTACATATTTTCATCAGTCATAACGCCATATGTTAGAAATAACGTCAGGAAAATGACGTAAATTCAAAACTTAATTATTTTGAGAGAAAACTTTATATATACGCCGATATTTTGAGTAGAAGTCATCGAGCGCAAGTCTGCCACAACTCCAACTTTTGATATAATGTCTAGAATAATAATATCATTGAAATATGTGAATATTGCACTGGAGCAGGCTTGCGCTCTGTAAACTCTACAGTCAAAATTGAACAAATTTTGTCCTCTTTTTTTAAAAAGTAGTTTGTGACGTAACAGAATAATCTACTTCCGATCTATACTATTTCTTCTCAGATTTGTTCATACAATATATACAGTTGGGCACATTTCTAGACATTTTCAAAATTTGGCTTTTATGGGGGCAAAAATATGCTTTTACCGTTTATAGTTCTTTGATTCTTGCAGGCAGACACGTAATGTCTCCGTTTTTACCAGTAAAAGTTATAAAAAAAAAAAAAAAAAAAAAAAAAAAAAAAAAAAAAAAAAAAACCAAGCATGCTTTATGTAAGTATAAAGTAACATTCTGTTTGACACAGAACTTACCATCCACATTAGAAAGATGGAAAGAGTCGCATTCAGATTTAAGAAAGTCCTCAATACAAGTCATAAAAAGGCCATATCTGTGGATTTGGGTGGCGTCTGTTGACGTGTATTTGGCCCAGTGTGGAAGTCCATAAGCCACCACATAGTCAATAAATCCCAGAAGGATGAAGAGAAAAGTGATTTTGCGCAAAAGCGCTCTCGCCTTTTGGTTCATGGTTTCATATTTCCAATATTTTGTCTTTTTTCTATAGGTACATATTTGGTAACTGCTTAAAAATCCGTATCTAACATAGCCTGCGACTCCTCCAAGTCTTCTTTGTTAGGCATTTCCTTAGATATCAGGGATTTTGATCTTTTTATCTTTGAATCAAAATTTATTCAGTAAGACATTGAATTGTGCCACCATAGCCGAGTGCCTTAAAAGAATGGACCGAACGGTTATTATGAAGACTTTGTATCTTAAAACATTGACGGGTTAAAATGTCGTAACCAAGACCTATATAAACGTTTGATAATTCCCCCCTCTCCCCATTAATTATACTGTTTATGAAGTTCCTCTTACAAAGATAATCACACAGAATTGAAAGTGCAGCATGAGATATAAAATATGTCGTCTGTGTACTTTAAACTGGTTGACCAATTTCGTGGATTTTTCATGCACCATATATTTTCAAAAGAACACAAACACACTTAACAAAGTATTGAATTCTGAAAGTGAATTCAGAATATTAATTGCACCTTTTGATCATTTTTAAAGCAATAGTTTTCAAGGACGACGGAGAGTTCCGAATGAATGGACATTGAGGGGGAGTGTTTCATCTGAGTTACCAACAACACTGTCAACCAGTGCAACTGCAGATTGCCCATTAAACACAATGTCACACTGCCGAGAAGCTTTCACTTGTTCGTTTAATTTTACCCCGAATTTAACCCTTTTATTCTTTTTATTCTATTCATTTATTTACTAGGCTTTTTTGTTAAATGTTGTTATAGATACATTAGTTTCCTTAAGAAATGAGATGTGAACAAAAAGGTAAAACTGAAATCAATTCTTCTGGTTTTTGGATCCCAAAACTTATTCATATGTAACATTTCTTTTACCTTTTATCAATTCAGAAAATCGATATTTTTAATAAGAAGTACATACATTTCATCCACATTAAAAATTAGTCAAATTCTAATGAAAAATCCTAGCTTGAAAAGTGGTTATAGAATTAAAACCATGGTCCTAGTAGGTGTAAAAATTCAATTTAGGCTGTTGTTTTTATTCTTCATATCGGCACAATTACCATGAAAAAGGAAGACAATAAACTTTTTTCTTAGAGATGTTACAAGTATTTGTGGTAGTTTAAGTAACTAGTATACTTGAACTTTTCAGGAGGTTTTATCAGTGCCGTAAATCTTCATCCCTTTGTTTGACAGCGAAACTTCAAACTTTGGTGAAAATGTTCTACCTACTTTTTTGTGAAAATAAACACACAAATACACAGACACACACCCTCCCTCACCCTCAGCCCCCCCCCCCCCCCAACACATAATGTTCACCTTATTTATTTGAAGGCCATTAATTACTTTAATTGTAAGTTGTTTTTATTTATTTATTAATTTGTTGTTGGGGGGGGGGGGTAGCTACAGATACGCATATCCCAATTTTTAGACCATTGAGCTTCAGATCTGCAGCTAAGAAGGGGATTTTCGAATTTGACATCTTAAGTAATTTAACATACTGAATTGACTATTTTTGCCCTTAACCAGGATATCGGTGCTGTGAATATTATGCGTCGTTAGGTATTACATGATTGATACGCTTTTCAAGCATTAAGTTACATGGAAACATTTATGCTTATGGATCTTATTACTACTTTTTCAACAACAACAGCTCCCCATTTGTCTATCAACTTTCGTGTAAACTTCTTTATCGCTAAAGAAAATGGATTTTGTTCAAAATCAATAAAACTGTCCATTTAACTCTTGTACTTGGGTTAAAGGATTAACTTTAATAAATGTTTTGAGAAGTTTCTAAATCTGGAAAAACATATTTGAAATGGAGAGACTGAATTTTGTTTATCTACGAAACGAAGCTTTATACTGTTATATTCCCTTTATAAACTTGCACAAAACTTTTTTTGGCAACCTCACAAGTATTTTGTTAAGTTCGTGGTTCATAATGTTTAGCTATATTTTAAATAAATGGAAGCATTCATTTCCTTCGTCCCATGAACAAAAACGCTGTTTTGAACGTGCAGAGAATACAATTCTGTTGAAAATTTTAAAAAAAGATCTCAAAATTGTCAACAAAATGTACCTGCACTGCCCTTAATATACGTTCAAACCTATTTTCCGAATAACATTTTCATCCAAGCCGGCACAATGTGCAAAGAAAACAAAGAAAAAAGGTAACAATACATTAAAAGGCACATTTTATTTTGAGCAAACAGTTTTCAGGTTTTTATTTTAAAATCCCAAATCTGCATCATGCGTCCTTAATGCCAAGATACCCAAAGCAACAAGCGGATAATGAATGTATGAAAGACAATCAATTAAGAAAGGGTAAAGCAAAACTAATCTATATTTTAAGCTGAATAAATATTTTTTTCCCTTGATTCTAATGTACAATGCAAGTACCAATTACAGTATTCGACTTAAATGTTTCTTTCATTAGAAAAAAAAAAGAATAACTCAGTTGCTATTTCAAGAATTTAAATAAAAGGTGGGGATCATACGCAAAAACGCTGCTAAGTCACAAATTTTATTGGAAGGAGGTTCACAGTATTAAATAAATGGATGCCCAAGCACACGGCCTGTTTTAAATGTAGAAAAATGACAGCCCAGAAGTCATGACTGTGATAGTATTCCCTTTTATATTTATGCCATCTTCGGAAATGTAGAGAGAAAAGGGGGTGGGGTGGGGGGGGGGGGTGGTCAAAATCTGTTTTACATTAAAAATTTTGGCTCCAATCCAGCAATCACTTTTCTACTTCTGGTAAGTCTTCAAACTTATGCGATAGCATGCTATGTCCATGAACATCGACTGCGTGTGGTTCGTGTTCATCGGTGCTGAATGCGGAGTTTGATCGTCCTTTCTTGATTTTCTTAGTGGATGCTTTCTTGGATTTCCTATACGCTCTAGTCTTCTTCAAAAGATCCGAAATTTTAATTGGATCAAAGACATGTACCTTTTTTACACTCGGACCCTTTGCTCTGGGGTTCGCAGCCTGTTCTACGCACCAGGGTACCGGGGTGATATCGTCTTGGACATCTGATGGTGTGTAAAGCCGTGGAGTTTCTGCCGATTCCGACATTTCAGTACTCGGGTTATGAATATTATAGTTGGTTAATGAGGCCTCTCTTTCGTCCAAGTTTGGATTGACGTCATACTGTTCCTGATTAACAGAAAGTTCTGCAACTTCTCGATCTTGTGATTTTGTTTCATACTTATCATACGCTTCTCTCTTAACAGTCAACTGCTTGAAAAAGAAAGGATCTTCGTCTGGCGACATCTCAAAGTCATCGCTAGCAACAACTATGCCTGTAACAGGTTTCTTTTTGAAATCATCGAACATGGTGCCAGTAGGTGGAAACATAAAGGCAGGTTGTTCCAGTTTCCGTTTTCTTCTCCTTTTCTTTCGCCTTTCTTGGTGCATTTTCTCCTCATCTTCTTTCTCATCTACGAATACCATAGTCCGGGCAACTAAAATACCCATCGCAGCAGCATAAAATAGAGGTGCAATGCTGATGGCTGCTAGATAGAATGCAATGTCGTCACTTCCGGCTGAATAGGATGGTTGGGATTTATAAATGGCCACAACAAGAATTATGAAGATTCCTAAGAAAAGATAAGGAAAATATTAAATGAAATGAAAATTTTCTTCAATTCACCATACGTTTTAAAGAAATGTTTAGTTACGTAAACATCTTTGAATTAATTCCTGGATGTCGACCTTGTTTTTGAAGAGGAACTGTAAAATGGGTTTAACTGAATATTTACAAAACTAAGATTCTAACTTTGCTTGTGTTATTAAATTTTCAACTATTTGTGTATTGTGTCAAATGTACAACAAATATATAATCAATTTTTTAATTAATTGAAACAACGGCAAATACTTTTGCCCCCACCAAGTCTAATTTCTGTTAGACAAATGAATAATTATCTGACAGGATTTTCAACCAAAACATGGAGAAACCTATAGCTTTTAACCTACAGGGCAGCGACCCCATGAACATTCCAGATAGCAAAATAATAAATTTTCATTAAATATTCGTGTGCTTTAATTCGCTTTTGAATCTCAGTCAACTGTTAATTATTGGATCAGAGCAGGTTATATATTTAATTGCCGGTGTATCATTCTTTCCTCTGTAACTCTGGCAGGAATTCGTGTTCAAATGTTTAAAAAATATATTTCAAAAATATTGTAACAAACATTTTTACCTCAAAATCAAAGAAAATTTAGTCTGTAGTGCCGACTAACACATACATTCATGATTGTAAGAAATGTATATATACATGTAATTTTAATTATTAATGATTCTAACCTGCCACTAATGATGTTCCTACTGAAGCATAGAACAGTCTTTGTCTTTTCTCGTTGATCCAGCAGAGCGCCAAAAATCCAGTAGCCATAGCGGCCGTGTAGAAAATGAGACCAATACTGGCTAAAGCTTTCAATGGTACAATGATTCCCCCTGAAAGAATACATTTTCAATATTAATATTTTTTCTATCATATTATCAGTAGCCAATAAAGGGGGGGGGGGTATATTAACGAAATGCGATTAATATATCATTTCTTCTTCCTGTTAACAATTCATGTTTCAGGAACAACCTTGTCGAAAAGAAAAAAAAACTGGATAGGAATGTAAACAGTAATAATTCTTTCTTGTCTGTAATTTTTTGAACGTCAAATACGAAATATAATGCTTGTGTTTGTACAAGGTAGAGTCATTATATACCTGTATGGAATTCTATCTTGTTAAAGTCATATTGAGTAATCAATATGTAACTAACCTTCAACATTGTCGAAATGTGTATACTGACAACGACTTCCTCCATCGCTGTCTAGGATACAGGCCATAAAGATTCCATAGTTGTAATGCTGTCCTGTCTCCCGTTTTGTAAATTTATACCATCTTGGAATAAAGAAAGAAACGACGAACAAAACATACCCCACAAATAGGGCGAAAAACACAGTCTTTTGAAGAAATAAATTCGCTCCTCTGTTCATCTTTTTTTGAACCAACTTTTACCAAATTTCAGCACCGAAAAAGTATGATTTAGTACACACGTTTACACAAATACTTCGAACATTTCACTTATTCTTCCCCCCTAGTGCATTTGATAACAATCGAACAGAATAACACCTATGTGTACAATGGTTGTTGATCCACGGGAATTTAAACCAATTAACCATTCTGGCAAAAAGCATCCTGACACCCAGCCATCCGTGACCCAGATGGGTCTTGGGGGACGAAGAAAGAGTTAAATGCCAATGACTGCTTGTTCATTTTATAGGATAACAAATATATGTCTCAACATGTCTTTTGAAAGAGAAAGTTATAAATTTCCTCGTAAAAATTACATTTTCTTACGGTATTTTGTAATTTTATTAATTTGATGATTTCAAGATACCAAATGATTATATTCTTTTCAAATGCACTATTTACTATAAATCGTATGTTCAATAAACATTATAAAAATTTATTCACTGCTCAGAAAAAATTTACTATATTCGCAGTAAATCAACCCAATCATTTAAATGATCTCATATAATGGCGAAGACTTTGAATATGACAATCACTGCTTGCTGTGGGATGGTTCAAGTGCGAAGGCGAGAGAATCAACTTAGAACACGAAGCTGAAAGAGAAGTGGAAAGATACGGAGTAACTTACGACCACTCGATGCTCCTCGGATGGCTCGTGCCTTGAGCACTATGAAGACCGTCGCTGTATCAGCCGAAGGTTGACCTTATGACTACAGATCGACAATTTTTTGATCAGTTTGGTATTTGCCTTGACTGACCAACAAAAAAAGACAGCAAGTAATACGAAGTCACGTCTTCTCTTCCTTGCTTATAGTTCATCTCCTGTATATGCGTCTGCAGAGAACAGAAAATCCTTCAAGAGATCAAAGAAGTGGTCTCGAGCTGCTCTCTTTTGCAACTACAAGAATTTTTTTCGGGGGGGGGGGGGGGCATATACCCTCTATCAAAAATCCATCTCAGAATTTTATTGACAAGCAAAAAAAAAAAAAACAACCTAAAAATTTACCATAAATCTTATGTTCAATAAACATTTTAAAAATTTATTCAGTGCTGAGAAAAGAAGTTCCGGGAATAATTTACTATATTCTCAGTAAATCAACCCAATCATTTAAATGATCTCGTATAATGGCGAAGACTTTGAATATGGCAATCACTGCTTGCTGTGGGATGGTTTAAGTGCAAAGGCAAGAGAATCAACTTAGAACACGAAGCTGAAAGAGAAGTGGAAAGATACGGAGTAACCTACGACCTCCCGATGCTCCTCGGATGGCTCGTACCTCGAGCACTATGGAGAGCGTCGCTGAATCAGCCGAATGTTGACCTTATGACTACAGATCGACAATTTTTTGATCAGTTTGGTATTTGCCTTGACTGACCAACAAAAAAAGACAGCAAGTAATACGAAGTCACGTCTTCCCTTCCTTGCTTATAGTTCATCTCCTGTATATGCGTCTGCAGAGAACAGAGAATCCTTCAAGAGATCAAAGAAGTGGTCTCGAGCTGCTCTCTTTTGCAACTACAAGAATTTTTTTCGGGGGGTGGGGGGGATACCCTCTATCAAAAATCCATCTCAGAATTTTATTGACAAGCAAAAAAAAAAAAAAAAAAAAAAAAAAAAAAAAAAAAAAAAAAAAAAAAAAAAACTAAAAATATGGAATTCCATATACGACAGCCAACTGCTTACTGCCAACTGCTAACTGCCAACTGCTCACTGCTTACTGCCAACTGCTCACGGCTTACTGCCAATATATTGATATTTATGTGAATTTTCATAAAACCAGGCGCTGATCCAGGATTTTTTTTACAGGAGGGACCCACCCCAGTAAAAAAAAAAATCCAACCCAGAAATTTCTTGACAAAAAAAAAAAACAAAACAAAAACGTAAACTCCTTTCCTAAGCGTGAAAAACCTATTTCGGCGTGGGGGGGGGGGGAGGGGGTTCACTTCTTATGCTTCATATCTATGAGTTTTCATATCAACTTAACACGGATCTGCGTTTTCTAGGGGGGGGGGGGTCCAAGGTCACTTTTAGATGGTTTAATATAGGTCTATACATTAAATAACTCTACAAATTCCAGGGGGTGGTCCGGACCCCCCCTCCCAACGACCCCCCCCCCCCCTAGATCCATGCATGTAAAGAATAACTTATTTGGGAAAATAAAGAGATATAAATCTTTAATTTGAAAAAAAATATTTCACTATAGATATAAACGGAAAATGGAAATTTATTTTCAAAACATCTTCCCCCGCGAAACAACAGATCCTTTTTTTCAGTTTTTATTCATTCCAAAGGTTTTGTTCTCTCAAGGGGATGGGGTGGGGGTGGGGGGGGCACGTGTCTCTGAAGATTAAAAACAGGAAAATAGTCATTTTATTACCAATTTTAAATGCGATCACAAATAAAAAAAAATGTACTTTATCACTTTATCAATCTCTTATGTTAAGTTAAAACATACGGTGGGATTTAACAGTCATTTATCCATTTTCATTTTCATGAGTATTTGAAAATAGTGATGTTATCAGCCTGATTTCAATTGATAAAATTTTCTACCCCCTTATGAAAGGAATTGTAAATAAGAGTAATTAACTTTTTGTCACTGGTTTTTAAAATTAGTACTTAATACTAATGAACATTTTTCTTTGCATTCAAACAAGTTTTTATGTCCAAATTGCCATTTATATTGAATTAAATGGATGGAAAATGTAGGCGAGAATCGAGAGTTAGTGTGCGTAGTTCTTACAATAATAACAAAATTTGGCGGATTTAGGAATTTTTAAACTGTAAAGGCGAGGAAGGAGTAAATCGGAAGAAGGAGTGTTTCCTCTTTAAAAATCAAACCATTATAATTTCTGCATTTCGTTGCAGGCAAATAATTTGATAGCTTTTTTAATGCGTGTAAGAGGGGGGGGGGGGTCACATACGACAAAAGAACAAACTTTTAAAAGGGTCTTGAGTAACATTTACTATATATACTATATACAGTAGTTCTCTCTTACGGGAGCGTATTAGTGCCACGTAATGTTTTTTTAAGTTGGAAAAGCCAAGATAAAAGTTGGAATTACCAACTTTAAAGTTGGAAAAGCCAACTTTAAAGTTGGAATTTTTAACTTTAAAGTTGGAATTTCCAATTTTAAAGTTGGAATTACCAACTTAAAAAAAAAAAACAGTACTTGGCACTAATACGCTTCCGTAAGGGAGAACTACTGTATATAGTATATGTTGGAAATTTAGTGGTTACGCCCCCCCCCCCCCCCAACCACCACCACCACGAATGTTTTTTACAGATCTAACAGATCGAACATTACCCATTAAAACGATTTACATAAGACACATATAAAAATTCCCACACATAGGTACTTTTCCTAGGGTAAAAAGAACATCCGAAAGATATTATTCGATATTTTAAAATCCGCCAAATTTTGTTATTATTGTAAGAACTACGCACACTAACTCTCGATTCCCGCCTAAATTTTCCATCTATTTAATTCAATATAAATGGCAATTTGGACATAAAAACTTGTTTGAAAGCAAAGAAAAGTTCATTTGTACTAATTTTAAAAACCAGTGACAAAAAATTAATTACTTTTATTTACAATTCTTTTCATAAGGGGGTAGAAAATTTTATCAATTGAAATCAGGCTGAAAACATTACCATTTTCAAATACTCATGAAAATGAAAATGGATAAATGACTGTTAAATCTCACCGTATGTTTTAACTTATGTAAAATTTAACATATGAGATTGATAAAGTGATAAAGTACATTTTTTATTTGTTATCTCATTTGAAATTGGTAATAAAATGACTATTTTCCTGTTTTTAATCTTCAAAAACACATCCCCCCCCCCCCCCGTGAGACAACAAAACCTTTGGAATGATTAAAAACTGAAAAAAAGGATCTCTTGTTTCTCGGGGGAAGATGTTTTGAAAATAAATTTCCATTTTCCTTTAATTTCTATAGTTAAATATTTTCTCAAATTAAAGATCTATATCTCTTTATTTTCCCAAATAAGTTATATTTTACATACACGGATCTAGAGGGGGGTCGGTGGAAGGGGGTGGGTGGGTGTCCAGACCACCCTCTGGAATTTGTAGAGTTATTTAATGTATATACTAAACCAACTAAAAGCCACGGTGACCTTGGACCCCCCCCCCCCTAGAAAACGTGGATCCGTGTTAAGTTGATATGAAAAGTTATAGATATGAAGCATAAGATGTCAACCCCCCCCCCCCCCCCCCCCCGCCGAAATAGGTTTTTTACGTTTAGGAAAGGAGTTAACGTTTTTGTTTTTAATTTCTGGGTTGGATTTTTTTTTACTCGGGTGGACCCCTCCTGTAAAAAAAATCCTGGATCCGCGCCTGGTTTTATGAAAATTCACATAAATATCAATATAAACATGAAAATTTATTCAAATATGTGTGGCAGTTGGCAGTAAGCAGTGAGCAGTTGGCAGTAAGCAGTGAGCAGTTGGCAGTAAGCAGTTGGCTGTCGTATATGGAATTCCATATAAAAACAACTTGTCCAAATCCAAAAAACCTATTTCGTGTGTGTGTGGGGGGGGGGGGGTGGGGGGGGGTAAGGACAAGTCGCTTTCCTTTATAGATATTAATGACCCTCCTTACTATGTTTTCTGGGGGGGGATCCATAATCATCTTTCCCTTTCTTTAGTAATCAAACTTTTTAAAACTGAAGATCCTGGGGGAGCCCTCCTTCCCCCTGAATCCGCGCATGATATAACTTGTACATGGTAAAACAAGTGAAATTCTAACAACCATGCAATTCATGAATTACAACATTTTTAATAAGCAGATCGCTAATATTGGTGCCCTATATATTTTTTAACCAATTGGTGATATCCAATGTGCTCTAGGATGTTTTCTAACTTAGTGCTGAAAATTAATAAAGGTCCGTTTTGATGCTACGATTTTAAATGCATAATTTAAAGTCTCCTTATTCTTTGATAACAATTAATATATATATATATATATATATATATATATATATATATATATATATATATATATATATATATATATATATATATATATATATATATATTGATTAATTAGGTGTCGCATGCGTACCATCCCTTTACAATCATTAAAAAAACAAAAGTATAGAAATACGTGGGTTGTCCGGTAAAATCGTGGACACCGCG